TTTTGTACTATCCTTAACGATTTAGTTTTCTAAATGTCATTGAAGCCTTATTAAATTTACCTTACACTTAAATAATGGTGCTATTTAATAAAAATAAAGAATAAAAATAAACAAAACTAACAATGAGCAATGTTTAAAAATGATTTAAGTACCAAAAATGCACTATATACTGTTTAAAATAACGGTCTCTAAGTTTAAATAAACTTTTTTAGGGTAAAACCACCAAATCCTGCCGCTTAATTTTAAACTGCGTCATATATTACCGCGAATGGCTTAGATTCTTATAAATATTTCTAAACTCTTAAAAAACCTCTTGAGATGCAATTTATGTCAAGTTTGGAAATTTTTGTTAATAAATTAACAAGTTTTAGCACAAATATTACATATTAAAAAAACACCAAATTATGGCCAGAGATTCGAAACATGGCCATTGCAAACTTATTCCTGGCCATTACGTTTTACAAAGTAAAAGTAGTGATAATATTTTTAAATTTAAATTTTTTTTTAAACTCTTTACAATAAATTTGTTTTGTTTTAGATTTAAAAATTTAAAACAAAATAAATTTATTGTAAAGAGTTTAAAAAAAGAAGTCTGCATAAATTTTTACTTATGTAAATTTAATTCTTTTTTTAACAGGTAAACAAACCATATATTTTAAAGCGCTTCGCAAGGTTTAATGTTTTTAAATTAGCAAATGTCTTAAAATAAATAAAAAACGGCTCTCCGTTTCCAACTTCACCGATAACGTTTAAGTGCTTCGAGCGGGGATCGAACCCGCGACCTTTGTTTGCTCTAACTACTGTACCGCGACTGCTAATCTAATAATAATCATTTCATTTATATCGTATCTACACTCTAAACCCGAATGGTTCTTCATAATCTTTAAAGGTTCTTCGCGTTGACGCTGGTGGAGCACTCGTAGAGGTTCTTCAAAGAACCCTTTGCGAAGGCTCTTCGGAAGAACCTTAAAATAAGGTTCTTTAAAGAACCCGTTATAATTCTTCATCGAACACGGATACTTTTTTGACTTCTTATACATTTTTTATTATTAAATATTTATATAATATTTAATAATATAATATTCTTTTTAATATAAAATATAGTATTCAATTATATTTCTTGCAGCGGTACACCTTTACTGTAAAACTTAACATGAAGGTTCTTGATACCAAAAAACAAAAACACAGCAACTAAAAGAAACCATTCTTTTACGGGGTTTTTCTCAAATATATAAAAGAGGTCGGTACTTTTTTCTTTAAGGGCCCCATAAAAAATGCCTATACAAAACTGAGATATAGTTTTTTTTATAGATGTGATATAAAGTTTTTCAATGATATCAAACCTAAAAAATAGAGTAATCACTTGTATTTTTTGTGTACCTATTATAAATGAGATTTCACGTTGCTTTCCACTAGATTCGTTCAGCAAGCCAACAAAAATCTATTGCGCTTATTTTCTTCCCTTTGAAAAAACAAAATGTTTAATAAGGTGCATCGCTTGGAACCATAATTTATAAAAATAACTTTACAAAGCGAGAACTCATGTTCTTAAGTAAAATTAAATTTTTTTTTTTTTTTTTAGGTGCTCTTAGAAGTCCTTACGGTCTTATCACAGAGCACCACGGGAGAGTATTTAACAAGGGGTTCACGCCTCCTTCCGTACCAATGTCGCTTGTTGGGCGTCGAACCTCGGACCTCTGGGTTCTGAGCCAGAACTCTAACCACTGCGCCACGGTTGCTAATTTGAGTTTCTTTTTTGTGTTTTTTTATTTGAAATTGTTTTGGTAGTACCATTGACACTTTTAGTTATGCGTTACATAATTAATTGTGACATTATTAATTTTTTCAGAAAAGGGCAAACTCCAAATCATTTTAGATTCATACTTTTATCAAATGATGTTATTTTGCCAGAAACTGATTCAACTTTTGTCATGATTAGAGCCTAGGAACACTCTCCTCCTCCTTTGCCCCCTCACCCACAAAAATGAGTTTATGTCATCGTCTCTAATGTAGGAGAATGGGTTTTTAATCAAAAAATTTTTAATCCACCAAATATAGTTTAAATCTTAAATAGATTTCTAACTTTATGAAAAAAATTATTTTTTATAAAATATTTTATAAAAAATATACTTCTTATTTGAAGCGGTTCTAAGTTTTTACTGGTCTATATTTTTAACGCCTGAACTTAAAAATCAAAAACATTTAACTTGAGATTAGTGTAAACACTAAAATTTTGGTATACAATATTTTAATGTTTACAATATTGGTATGTTAAATAATGTTAGAAAAGTTAAGCAAAAATAATTAAAATATAAAATAAACAATTTTCTTTTATTTATTAGTTACATTATTTCAAGAACATCTTTCTTTGATTTAAAGGCGGAAAGCTCTTTCCTATGTATCATTCTTGTTCTAACAAATCCATTTCTTCTTACTTGGCTATAAACAATGTAAGATGCTTCCGAACGGTTGTGACGCAAGGTTCTGTTACTTGGCAGAAAAATTTAAGATTTTTTAATGGATTTTCAATAAACTTAGAGATCTCCGCTTTAGAAACATTACATGTAAATATTGGTTCATAAAAATTATTTAGATTGCAAGAAATTAATTCTTTATTATTTCATCTAGTTTTTAAAATCTTAACAACACCAATCATTCTTTCAATTTCGTTAGAGCTTGTCAATAGTGAAATCAGAATACTCTCTCGATGGCTATAACCCCAGTTCTTGTACATGGTGTGATAATACTAACCACATTGACTTTGGCCCGTCCTCCAGCAGATGTTTGGTAGAAATTTCAAAATAAAGTTTGAAACACATTTTGACACAAAACTCAGCAGTATCTTCAAGATTTCTAGCTCACTGTATTAAGGGTTATGATTTTTTGTCCACAAAAACATCAAACTCATACCTATTGTAAGCCAGCCAGAATGAGACAGTGGTCCACAATTAAGATTTGCAAGGTCCGAAAAAAGTTTTTCTGATTTGATAGCATTTACATATCTACAACTGATATAAGCATCAGTAGACAAGCTTTTTATGCCTTTCTCATCAAGTTTTGAAAGTTCCTCTCCATCTGGTAGAGGTGTAAAATTTTAATTTACTGTCATATTATTTACATACTTGAGATTTTTGCAAACTAATTCTGTAAATTCATCCTTGCTGCTCGTTAAACTATCAAGTGATACATTGAAATATCATAACTTGAGTTTATTTGTATGTTTCATGCAAATCGCCTAATAGCATTTATGTTCTAACATTTTCTTAAAATGGACATGAATACTCCCTGACCATCCTATATTGTTATTAGTTGAATCTCTGCCTATTACTACGCATGATTCAGTAGCATTGTTATTTGAAGGACCTCATAGACTGCTTCACCTATCTTTTTTGCAGGTAATTCCAGTTTTCCGGATGAATGGCACATTCTGGCGTGATGTGAGCAAGATAACGTCTAGTTATACAAAAAAGTGAAATCTAGACATATTTTAGCAACTAAATTGTCTGATTTTGTTTAAAAAGGTAAAGAGTTTGTTTTATCGGAGGTACCCACAAAAAGATTCTTTTTGTGGGTTAGACAATTTAGTTGCTAAATTATGTCTAGTTTTCTACTTTTGTTAAAAATAACAAAAGATACATATTATTAAAAAGTATTTGAGATAAGAGTCTTTTTAATAAAAAAAGTCTCATATATGTAAACTGAATTAAATTTAAATTATATAAACTGAATAAAATTATACTACGTTTTAAATATATCTCAGTTAAACAAAAATAACATGTATTTAGACTATTTAACAATATTAATTAAAATAATCAAATAGGTAAAACATCTATTACAAGGTTAAAAAAATAACCACTTAATTAAATAAAACTTACTTAATAAATTTTATCGCATAGATATACTATGGATTCTCACTGCATAGTATGAACGCGTTATAAAAACAAACTATATGACATTCCATAACTGGTATTAATTTTACAAAGTGACCTTGAGAATTAACACGGTTGTTACAACGCATTCTCAAAAAACGGGTAATTTCTTTTACAATAAACGATTAAATGTACAACTAAAAGTGTCAATTGTACTAACAAAATATTTTCAAGTTAAAAAACACAAAAAAAAACTCAAATTTTACATAAGAATATGAGTACGCCGTATTTTTTTATTCAAAATGATTTTTGCGATGTACCCTATTGTTTTGAACAGCTGACTTTTTTGAGCACGGATGACTAAGGTGTTGTTCATAAATTACGTCATGTGATTTCGGCCATTTTTGAATTCCCCCCCCCCCCCCAATCATCACAATATTGTAACACTTTTGATACAAGTTCCGTAAGAGTCGTCACAAAACCACTAACCTTCCCCCCCCCCCCCCATTTCTTTTTCAGATCTGAAAGCATTCTTCAAAAAAATGAATGTTAAGTGATAATTTGTGTTTATAAGTAAATTTCCATCATACCACACCAAAGTTTCAAATTAACGACCCTTAGGCTATAGTCTCAGCAAATTATTTTAAAAAATTAAGATATTCTTACATTGTGTTGCTTTTAGTTTCTTTACCTAGGGTACAAATGAAACATTTTCCATTTGTGTCCTAGGTAAAGTGGCTGTCTAAAAATAGTTTTTTGTATATGGAGCCGGAATACTCTGGGTCTACAAACTGTTTCACCAAACTTTATAGGGGTAGCTTATAGTCTAAATTGTGAATATGTTTTTTTTTTCAGACAACAAAAATGGATCGTTTGTTTGTATTCAAAATAATTTCGTAGATTTATTCTCGTCTAATTCTAACTGACTTATCACCGTTATTTGTAGATTTTAAAAAAGAATTCGTTTGAGATTAGGTTTAAAATGCATATGATAAGCTCATAAGTAATTTATATAATCATACGTCACAACCATAATAGAATAGCTGATAAAACCAGGTGAGAACTACATAATTTATACTGGGGTAATTGCTAGGGGTCCCGGTGAGAATTCATAAAATAATCCACCTCTGATGTAATCTGATGTAGAAAAGTTGTAAACAAAATATATTATTTATCAATATGTGATTTCATGTATTTACAATTGAATATGCAAAATTTTATAACACTATAAATTAATAGTTAAAATTATATATCTAAATTTGCTAGAAGCACGCCGTCCTTTACTATACTTTCAAGTTCTGCGTCGTCGTACGAAAATCCAAGCTTGACAAAAAACAAAATCATTAATTAACGTTTGAGGAAACATACATTATCCAACAAGCTAATTTAATGCGGGCCACATGCGTTATTAAATTATAGCCACTTGATTTATGAGAAAGCTTAAACGTGGGCCATGTGTGGCTATGGTATTTATACCGCTTAAAGGCACTTTAAGTGGTATAAACAACGCATCAAATATTTTTGTCGGGTATAATTAATAAATAAAAACTTTTAATTGTTTTTGTATCAGACATAAAATTAATGCTGACCTTGCAAGAGTATTTATAACATTGCTCAGCTTCAGTCAATCGATTACACTGTAATCAAATGAAAAACAATTAAAATTAAAAACAACGAGAAAAAACAAATTAAAGCAAAAAAAAAAAAAATCGAGTTTTATATTGTCTAATAAAATAGTAATAAAATAGTAATAATAATAATACTAATAAAATAATAATAATAATAATAATAATAATAATAACAAACAAACCTTTAAACATACTAATGTCAAATAAGACCAAACATCTGGATTCATGTTATCTAATATGTTAGCCTCATTTAAAGCTTGTTCTGCTTCTAAAGTTTCTTCTAGCTAAACATTAAATTATAACAAAAATAAGAAAACGCTTTAGCGAATGAAATCTTGTAAAACTAAATTCTCACTTTATACGATGCTATACCAACACCAAGCCACGTAATGCAAGATGGCCAACTTTTACACAACTGCAAATAAGTCGATTTGGCTCTGTGATACTAAAAAAAGAATCATTTAATATATACGAAATCAAATATGTAAAAATTAAAAAAAATACACATAAGAAACAGGAGAATAAAAACCACAAACATCTTTTTTTCTGTGCAGATAAATCGCAGCAAGTCTCATAAGAACACAATGTAAGTCATTGGTTTGTTCTACGTAGGCTAAGCTTCTTTCATAATACGTTAAAGCTTCTTCAAAACAATTTTCTAAATATTTCACGTGACCCTTCAGTGCCCAAGCATTAGGATTCTGTAAATAAATTACATTAACTTTATTTTAATTCCATTAAAAAAAAAAGATAAATAGGTGTTATCTTGAAAGTATTTCACAACTTAAAAGTTATTTTCATGTTTCATTTAAATTTTAACAGTATGCATCATCCGAAAGATTTTTTTTTTAATTCCAAAAGCCTTATTTTCTTTTTATTTGAGCTTGGTCTCTAGACTAAAGCCTAAAATAAAAATGTAACTCTGATACAAAACTTCTTTCTGATAACATTTTTAACCATCTTTGTTTTTCCGAACAAAACAATATTCAGTTCGAAAATACAACGTTGTAAAACCTGCTACATTGGTGAACCTCTTTATTTTGACAATAAACCTTTGAATATCTGTTTGGCTCAACACATTTTTTGTTACAAATAAATCAAAATGCAAATAATTTAAAATACAAAAATGTTAATTTTATCTTATATATGCGATTATTTTTTAAAAGTAACACAGATTTTTTAAAAGATTCAAATTAAATAACTTGAATCTTTTAAATTTTTTTTTTGTTAAAATTGCTAAAACCTTTGTAAATCAGTATCTTTGAGATAAAAAATAATCTACAAAGTATATAAATAGATATCATCTATAAAAATACAAATAAAAATACTTCTACTGAATGCCCCTTCCCTAAAAAAAAAAAATAAAAAAAATTTGTATTTCTGTCAGTACATCAAAAAGATGAGTCAGAAAAAATAAAGGCAATCGTTGCATTAATACATTTTAACACATAGATATACTATGTATATATATTATCATATAGATATACTACATTATCATATAGATATACTGCATTAATACATTTTATCACATAGATATACTATGTATATATATATATATATATATATATATATATATATATATATATATATATATATATATATATATATATATATATATATATATATATATATATATATATTATATATATATATATATATATATATATTATCATATAGATATACTACCTGTTGTACAACTTAAATTTATTTAAAATTTCTCATACAAATCAAACATCTCTTTCAAACAAATTAAACATCTCTTTTAACATCTAATGCTCATGAATGAGGTATGTAACAAAAACAAAACTCTTCAATTGCTAATCTTATTTCTAATTTCTACAATTTCTTTTTTTTTTTTTTTAATTGCAAATATAACTATTAATTATGAAATTTATTTTTAATTGCAAATATAAAGTAATAAGGCCAATTAAAAATTGTATAGGTGAGGTTACAGTTAGTTTATGCAACAATAATAATAAAAAAAAAACACCAAATATAAATTACTTATAAACTCTTTATATATTTTTAAAGAATGGAAACAGCAAATTTTTTATATTCTTGTCACCATTTGGTTAAACTGCTTTTTCAAAACCTTCATACATAGCTATTGACAACTGTTACAAAATGCTCTGAAGATATTCACATAATTTCTTTTATTATTCTGTTAAATGGTTTTCAAACAGGAAATTTTCCCCTAGACAAAAAGTCCTATACAATAGGATCCTATAAGAATTTAAAAAGAAAACAATTTCAGATTTGACCCCTATTAAATTTAAACACATGTTAAAAAGTGTTTACAGCTATCAAAGGTTTGTCTATTTTTTTTTTGTTCCAAAAAAGGTCAACACTTCAATATTTCTAGCTAGGGTCAACACTTAAATATTTCTACGAGTCTACTATCTTCTGCATAGAGCTCGCATTAACTAATAAGAGATTCAACCCTAAATTTCAATACAATGATACTCTAACTAGCTAATTTATGGAATGGTTATTAAGTGTTTAGACAAACGTTAAATATAATAATACATTTTTCTCTGACCAAAGATTCATTTGTGATCTCAACTGCAACTCATAAGTGACCAAAAACATGGCATAAGGTACGTCTCTTGTTAACAATTGCCACTTCACTTAGGAATACTACTATCCAAGGTAATCACCCTACTTAAAAGTGGGGTGCTGTGATAAGATTCACAAGTTGAGCAAACGCAACATTTAAAATAACATTTAAAAATTAATTTTTAATTCATTTTCAATATTATTATTAATGTTAAAAAACTAGGAACTAATAAAAACAACTGGGAAATAATAAAAATAACTGGGAGCTAATAAAAACAACTGGGAACTAATAAAAACAACTAGGAACTAATAAAAACAACTAACAACTAATAAAAATGTGTGTCTAATTTGATGAAGATTTTTTTAATGTTACTTTAAAAGTATAAAAAATATAATCTATCAAAAAAAAACAACAAAAAAAAAAAAAAACATAAAAAAGCTACAAATACTATTTTGAGATCATACATTTTATAAAAAAAATTTGCTCATATATTTCTAAAAAAATTTTATAATCAAACTATTAAATAAAATGTAATGCAACTAAAATGTAAAATATTGTAAATAAAATTTAAAACTAATGTCATCAAAATGACATTACAACATTTTTTCCATTATTGCAATTAGGGGTGGGAGTTAAGGTTAGTTTTAGTCTAACTAAAGATATTTAACTAAATTTTTAGTCTAACTAAAATTAGTTAACTAACTTTTTAGTTAACTAAAATTAGTCGACTAACTTATTAGTTAACTAAAATTACCCGACTAACTTTTTAGTTAACTAAAATTACCCGACTAACTTTTTAGTTAACTAAAATTACCCGACTAACTTTTTAGTTAACTAAAATTACCCGACTAACTTTCTAGTTAACTAAAATAACCCAAATAACTTTCTAGCTAACTAAAATTACCCGATTAACATTTTAGCTAACTAAAATTAAGCGACTAACTTTTATTCTAACTAAACTTAGTCGACTTTAGCCTAACTAAAATTAGTCGACTAACTTTTTAGTTAACTCAAATTAGTCGACTAAATATTTAGTGTAACTAAATTTAGTCGATTAAAGCAAGATTTAGTGCTTGAAAAAAGAAATAATCTTTCGCATGAAAATTTTACACATGAAGAAGCATTATTAAGGCGATAAATATTATTTTATCGAAATTAAACACTTTACTAGTTGTGAATTCTAGAGCCCAGTCGAACTAAACTGTTATTTAAAAAAAATGTTTTAAGCAAAATTCGATTATTTTAATTTTTTCCCAGCTCTGAGACAACTGCCTATGAAGTTGTTGCAACTGTTTATCAACACCCAATCAGCATGGAATATACAAATAATGCCCTTTAGTCAATTACATCAAATTTGGTACGCTTATTGAACGTTTAACTTATATTTTTTATGTGCTGCTTCTTATAGGAAGTGTGCAATAACAATCGCAAATCAAAAATAATTTCTCCTGCCAAGGCCGTACCGACTTGAGTATGGGCACCTTACCAGGGTTACAACATTCTGTCGGTTTTGTCGGTAATTTAGAAAATTTGAGAATCAATCGGTTAAAACTGCAACTTGACTTTTAAATAAAAAAAAAAGCCCTACTTTGGTGAGATTTTTATGGTAAAAAAGCTTATTTCATTTGCACCCCCCCCCTCCCCCTACATCTTCGTTGTTCAGTACAGCCCTGTCCCCTGCTGTATTATAGGAATAGATTCAATCTCTAATTTTCACAACAAATCTATGACTCCCCCTCCCAACCTCTTCAAATATCAACCTCTCCTAATGGCTATTACAACCCGCAAACACTATAGTAAGGCAGGCAAAAGTATTGACATGAACTCAAAAGAAAATCGTTAAATAAGTTATTATGAATTTATTTTTTTTGCTTTCAGAGTATAGTTGTTCATCGGTTGGCGATACCTGCAAAATTTAAAAGGAAAATTGGTATTTGCATTTTTGAATGCAATATCCACAATATAAGTTGTTGAATAGTGTATAAAATGTATTAAATAATACTTAACTGTTGAATAGCGAAAACATTTTATTAAGTAAATGCGGTCGCTTTTAAAACCAGGAAATTGTTTATGACATTTTAAATACTTGAAAAATGCAATACGCATATTAATTTTTTAATTTTTTGTATCAAAAAAAAAAAAAAATCAGTTTTACTCAAAAGAGTTCGAATACTAAATTTAATAATATTTCTTTTAGAACAATAAATATATTAAAAAATATTTATTACAAGAAAAAACTTCAGTATTATATTTAATAAATTTAAACTAAATTAAAAAATTCCAAATTTTCGTACAAAAACATCAATATTTGAAAACATTCAGTTGTTATTCTGTTTTGCTTTGCATACGTAAGTATAAGTTTGCATACGTTTCGCTTTGCATGCATGTGTTTAATGCCTCAGAGAAAAGGTGTTCACTTAGTGCACTGGTAGCAGGCGTACATAAAATCATTGTTGAAATACAATACATTATTGGATATACATGTTAATTTTGATACCAAAAGTGTAAAAACATTTTGCTCATTTACTGACAATTTTATATAACCCCTAATTTCTCTTTTTAAATCTAAACTTATTATTTTGTCACTATCATTTCCGGAAATATCATCTTCATCGTCAAATGATAACTTAAATTTTTTTAATTTGTTTGTCACCTTTTTAAATAGAATTATATCACAAACTTTTGTTGTTTAATGAAATTTTGACAAAAAATTCCCTAACACATTTAAAAAATTTTTTTCCCTTGTACTTTTCAAAGAATTGAAAACTTTTATAATTTGAATTCAAAAAAGTGGCACATAACAAAACCAAGTAATTGTAATATACTGTAGCTTACAGGGCCGGCACAAGTAGGTAACATGTAGAGAGTGCCGTTAAAATTTTAATTACTAGAAATAGGAAAAAAAAATTCTTGTTTTTATTTACCAACTGACTGTTCTGAAAATCTACATTTGCCAACTTACTTATCTAAAAGAGTCAAATTGGCTTACTAAATGAGCTAAAAGTTCATTGATGGGATGTCACACACGAAACCAACCAATCCATCCTTACACCCCTTTGCGTTGGCCTTGGTAGCTTATTCAACTCTATAGATATTTGTATTTTACTATGTTTACTTTTTGGATTTTTTATGAAAAATTTTCTTGAAGTATCTTGTTTATAATATTTTCTTGAAGTAAATTATTTTGATATTTTTTTATTTTTGCGGTATTATGCGATAAAATGATTATGCATTCGCAATCTTATTCAAAAATTCTAATAGAAATGATATCATGTACCCAAATTATTTATATTATATATTTATAAAATTCTTTAGTTGGACTAAAAACAAAGTCGCGTATATTTAGTTAACAAAAAGCTTAGTCGGTTAATTTTAGTTAACTAAAAAGTTAGTCTGGTAATTTTAGTTAACTAAAAAGTTAGTCGGGTAATTTTAGTTAACTAAAAAGTTAGTCGCGTAATTTTAGTTAACTAATAAGTTAGTCGACTAATTTTAGTTAACTAAAAAGTTAGTTAACTAATTTTAGTTGGACTAAAAATTTAGTTAAGTATCTTTAGTTAGACTAAAACTAACCTTAACTCCCACCCCTAATTGCAATAATGGAAAAAATGTTGTAATGTCATTTTGATGACATTAGTTTTAAATTTTATTTACAATATTTTACATTTTAGTTGCATTATATTTTATTTAATAGTTTGATTATTATTTTATTTATTTATATAATAATATTTAATTATATAATAGTTTGATTATTATTTTATTTATTAGTTTGAACTAAAAAGTTAGTCGACTGATTATAGTTAACTAAAAAGTTAGTCAACTAATTTTAGTTACGGTATTTTTAGTTTAGTTAGTTACAATTTTTAGTTTTGGTCACAACACTAATTGCAATTATAAAAAATTCTAAAACTAATTGCAAAATTCATTAAAAAACAAAATCATTATAAACTGATAGTTTTCAACTTTAACTAAAGAAAAAAAAATTTACTTCGAAATGAAGAACAAGTGCTTCCTCAATGCTATCAAAAGCAAAAGAAAAAATCTTCTTTTGAATTTGAAATTGAGCAAGAAGCATATAGTACTGATGACGCGGTCCTTGTTTAATGGTAACCAACTCGTGAGCCAAAGCTTTCTCTGCCATCTAAAAAAAATCGTTATGATAATCCAAAAAAATATTTTTTGCATTTACTAGTTCACTATAACAAATTTTTTGATCATTAAAATGTTTACATAAATTCAGAGTAAAAATATACACAGAAATTTAAAATAGACAATTTATAAATTTTTTAATCTTTAAAATCAGTCCTATTAAATATTGAAATAAATATTGATTTATATTTTTTATAAATTCTGACTTGTTACTCAACCTGCTGTCCCTCCTCCTATTATATACTCAACCCTCCTATATTTTAATAGGAGGTTCTAATTGTACAAACATTTTTAGATGTAGATGATCTTTCATCTTTATTGTTTTCAGCAAATAAAGTTTAAAGTGCCTTTAATTTCAAACAAAGTTTCAAGTATATTTTGATTTAATTATCTTTTTTATTTTAAATATAAAAAATGATAAACCTGAAAAAAATTTCTTTCCAAATAAAAATTGGCAGCAATCATAAAAATACTGGGAAAATTTTTCATCACTTTTGTTTCATGATCTTCAGCAAAATCTTTATATAAATAGCAAAAAATGATTTCAACATAAATGTTAGTTAAAACTTTTTTTCAACATTAAAAAAGATCAAAAAGCAACAATAAAGCAAATAAAAAGTATACAAAAATATAAATAAAAACTTTAAATGAAAAAATTTTAAAATAAAGTAAACCTGCATGAACTATTTTATCAAGAAGTTTATTGGCTTCTATAATTGAACGTTCAGCTAATATACTGTTATTGACAGTTAAGTAAAAGAGTCCTAAAATAAATGATATTGTATTTATAACTATCCAAACAATTTTGGATTTTGAATCAAGAATGAATCTTTCAATCTCAAATTAAACCATTTAATAAGCAATTATGATATATTTGTATAAAACTGCCTCTTTGTTATAAACATATCAAGTTAATCTTTTTGTAAAAGTGATTTTGTGACTCAGTTTTTTAAACTTTTTTTTTTTTTAAATAGCGTGAAATTATTTTGACTTTGAGTTCACTTTTTATTCACATTAAAGTGGATTGTTTTTATTAACATTTAAATAGATTGTTCCGCAATTTAAATGTTGCATTCTAAAAAAAGTTATTTTTTAGTCTATTAAATAAAATATTCAATTATGGTTCTTTAACTTTTTACAATATTTCTAGCAGTTTTATACAACTCTGTCACTCAAGCTATGAAACATAAAGAATAAACCACTAAAAAAACAAATAAAATAATTTTTCAATGCAATTCATCATTATTAATCAAACCATCATCATTTGAGTAAATCTTTAATAATAATCTCATTTTTTCTTTTAATAGTTTTAATAGAATCAATTTTACTTTTAATATAATCACATTCAAACTTAATAGTTGTTTTTATTCCATTCAAATTAAGCGTATTTTTTGTACTGTATTTAACATATAATATAAAATTATTATGTTATATATTTAAATATCTTGAATGCCATAATAGCATAAAATTAGTAAATGTTTTTAAAAAATAATACAATATTTTTTATTCTAGACATGTTTTGTAATATAATTACATTTTCAAGATTCAAATTTACAATAAAACTCTGAAAGAAATGTTAAAAATAAAAAACTTTAAAGAAAAATGTTAACTAACAAAAAATATACAAAATAAACCAGTAAAAGTAATTATAAAAATGACTTGTTAAACAACCAATATAATCTAAACAACCAATAAAAATACATTAAACTATCATTTTAATTAAATAGATAAGTTAATAGGATAATTGGAAGTTTGCTTATTAAGAGGGGGATTTTCCCATTCAATGTGGATTGCTTCTTTTAATGTGGAGTGCTTTTTTACCTTTAATGTTTGGCTGGAGCAGTATCCAAATTATTTTTAAAACTAATTGATGTATTTAAATGTTTATGTATATTGGATTCATTACCAGCTTTAAAGTGCTTTTTTTAGCCTAGCTGTCAATTGTCTGGAAGTTTCTCTGATATAACTGGCATTACAGCCAGTGCAAATTTAAAAAAAAAAACTCAAGGTTTGAATAGTTTAGGAAGTCGATCTTTTAAACAAAAATTATATACTTTATTAGAAGAAAACATTAATTTTATTAGAATATCTTTCCAATATTTGTTACTTTTTAAGTTTTTATTTTTGTAAAATTAAAGTAAACTCTGATAATTGGAAGCTTGAAATATCTTATATTTGAGATATTAACAAAAGTTGAAACAGATGAGTTTATTTTCTTATCAATATTATATATTTATATGATTTAACATTTAACATAATAATTGAAATAATATATATATATATATATATATATATATATATATATATATATATATATATATATATATATATATATAAATACATATATATATATATATATATATATATATTTATATATATATATATATATATATATATATATATATATATATATATATATATCTTTAAAAGTCATTTCTTGTTATACGATATATATATATATTTAATATGTAAGTTGATTTTAATAAAAAGGCAGCGTATAACTATTTTTAAATATATTTTGATGTAAAAATATATCAACGATATTTCGCTGACTTATTGTGGTCAGCGTCATCAGGTAATAAAAAAAAACGTTACAAAATAACATAAAAACAAACCGTTTAAAAAGAAGACATTAAAAAGCGTCAAATATAAAAACCAATTAAATATAATAATGACGTCAGTTAAATTTTTGTCAAAATGGGTCCCCAAGTTCTTGTTTTAACCTTATCCCTGTCATCTCGATTTAGAACACCTTCCCCAATACCTATCTCACATCGAACTTTCGCTTTGTTAATCTCCAGAGATTCTCTAATTTTTCGTATCTTGTATTCTTGAACGACTGCCAAGGTCTTAGGATTTAGCCAACAAAGTTACCACGGCATGTTTTGGAATGTTTCGTGGCTCCTGAACTCGACCATTTTTGATTTTTGCAAGCTCTTTGGTGTTCTGCACTTCTTGAAATGATTTTCTTTTTGGTCTCACCAATATATATATTTCCGCATGAGCATTTAAGTTGGTAAACCCCCGGATTTGAGTTCGGAGGTAGTTTAGTTTTGTTGTTGCATAATATATTACTTAAACTAGGAGCTGAAGTAAATATAACTCTGATGTTTTGTTTTTTAAATTCTCTTCGGAGTTTTGGGCCAATAATAGGTATCCAAGGTAGTTTAACAAACTTTTGATCTAACTGATTAGATGTAGTATTTTTTGAAATGCCGTCTAAATAGTTTTTGGTTATTTTAATAAGATTATTTTTATTATAGCCGTTTTCAAAAAATGTATTTATGAGGAAATCAATTTCTTGTGAGAGATATTTTTGAGAGCAGATTTGTTTTGCTCGACATAAAAAACCTTTAAAGACGCCAATGGTTATGCTCGGGTTGATGTTGGAGTTTGGTTTTATTTGAACATTTGTTATCGCATCCTTACGGTGTATTTGAAACTCATAAAATCCATTCATTGTATTTGTAATACAAATATCTAAAAAATTAAGTTGTTTTCTTTTGTTTTCAAGTTCAACGGTATATTTTATGGAGGGGTTTTGTTCATTTAAAGCTTTAAGAAATAATTCTTGCTTTTCTTTTGAATCGAAGCGAGCATGGCTATCATCCACATATCTTTTATAAGTTATTGGTTGGAATGAATTAACAAAGGCTATATCAAGTGCTCTTTTTTCTATATTTTGCAAAAATGCTTCAGCTATGACTACCATCAATGATAAACCAATTGGACCTGAATTAGGTAAAATTTGGATTTTATCTTCGTATAAAAAGTAACATATGCTTAACGATAGTTCAATTAATTGGTGTATATCTATGAGAGTTAATTTAGTCCTAGTTTTTAAATCTTCAAGATCATCGTTCAATATGTTAATAATAACAGGAATTGCTTCATTAATCTTGGTCCAAAATTTGTCCCAATACAAAAGAACATCCCTTATATGGACATAACCACTAATATTGAAACTTGCGCCTTGGAACTCGAACAACAAAATAAACAAACACAAGCAGAGATTCTTCGACAAAACTGTTCCAAAATTCTAACCAGTTCTTTAAAGTTAAAAATAAAAGATAATTTAACAAAACAACAACGCCTTTCTTTACAAAACCTGAAAAAACATTCACATCTAAAGATATATCCGTTTGACAAAGGAACAGGTTTTGCTTTATTATGCAAAAATGAAGCAAAAGCGAAATTAGAAGAACAAATAAAAAATAGTAAAATTATTGATTACGACCCAACACCCACATTCACTACTAAATTTCAAAAACTATTATGTAAATTAAGAAAACAAGGCAAGTTAGACAATGCTACTTATTTTAAAATGTATCCATCAGATTGCGTTCCACCTAGAATCTATGGAATCGTTAAAGCACACAAACCGGAAAAAAACTACCCAATGCGTCCTGTTGTTTCCACTATTAACACACCTCCTTATGGAACATCTGAGTATCTGGTTAAAATTATCCAACCAACATTAAACAAAAACATAACTCGACTAATTAATTCAAGAAACTTTGTCAACGATGCTAAAGAATGGAAGATAGACCCTAATGAAATTCAGGTTTTTTTCGATGTAATTAATTTATATCCATCCGTACCGATCAATGAAGCAATTCCTGTTATTATTAACATATTGAACGATGATCTTGAAGATTTAAAAACTAGGACTAAATTAACTCTCATAGATATACACCAATTAATTGAACTATCGTTAAGCATATGTTACTTTTTATACGAAGATAAAATCCAAATTTTACCTAATTCAGGTCCAATTGGTTTATCATTGATGGTAGTCATAGCTGAAGCATTTTTGCAAAATATAGAAAAAAGAGCACTTGATATAGCCTTTGTTAATTCATTCCAACCAATAACTTATAAAAGATATGTGGATGATAGCCATGCTCGCTTCGATTCAAAAGAAAAGCAAGAATTATTTCTTAAAGCTTTAAATGAACAAAACCCCTCCATAAAATATACCGTTGAACTTGAAAACAAAAGAAAACAACTTAATTTTTTAGATATTTGTATTACAAATACAATGAATGGATTTTATGAGTTTCAAATACACCGTAAGGATGCGATAACAAATGTTCAAATAAAACCAAACTCCAACATCAACCCGAGCATAACCATTGGCGTCTTTAAAGGTTTTTTATGTCGAGCAAAACAAATCTGCTCTCAAAAATATCTCTCACAAGAAATTGATTTCCTCATAAATACATTTTTTGAAAACGGCTATAATAAAAATAATCTTATTAAAATAACCAAAAACTATTTAGACGGCATTTCAAAAAATACTACATCTAATCAGTTAGATCAAAAGTTTGTTAAACTACCTTGGATACCTATTATTGGCCCAAAACTCCGAAGAGAATTTAAAAAACAAAACATCAGAGTTATATTTACTTCAGCTCCTAGTTTAAGTAATATATTATGCAACAACAAAACTAAACTACCTCCGAACTCAAATCCGGGGGTTTACCAACTTAAATGCTCATGCGGAAATATATATATTGGTGAGACCAAAAAGAAAATCATTTCAAGAAGTGCAGAACACCAAAGAGCTTGCAAAAATCAAAAATGGTCGAGTTCAGGAGCCACGAAACATTCCAAAACATGCCGTGGTAACTTTGTTGGCTAAATCCTAAGACCTTGGCAGTCGTTCAAGAATACAAGATACGAAAAATTAGAGAATCTCTGGAGATTAACAAAGCGAAAGTTCGATGTGAGATAGGTATTGGGGAAGGTGTTCTAAATCGAGATGACAGGGATAAGGTTAAAACAAGAACTTGGGGACCCATTTTGACAAAAATTTAACTGACGTCATTATTATATTTAATTGGTTTTTATATTTGACGCTTTTTAATGTCTTCTTTTTAAACGGTTTGTTTTTATGTTATTTTGTAACGTTTTTTATTATTACCTGATGACGCTGACCACAATAAGTCAGCGAAATATCGTTGATATATTTTTACATCAAAATATATTTAAAAATAGTTATACGCTGCCTTTTTATTAAAATCAACTTACATATTAAATATATATATATATATCGTATAACAAGAAATGACTTTTAAAGATATATATATATATATATATATATATATATATATATATATATATATATATATATATATATATAAATATATATATATATATATATATATATATATATATATATATATATATATATATATATATATATATATATATATATATATATACCCAGCTAGCACACATACGTTGTTAAAACATTAGAACAATGTCGTGCGTTTCGTTGGCCCAACATTGGCTGCCAACGTTGTTCTTATATCATTATGGCTACAAATGCGACGTCGCCAACAACTAAAAACCAATGTTGATAAAACGTCGGAAAATAGTTATTCAACGTTTTATTTTATATGTTTCAACGTTTTATTTTATATGTTGGCCCAACGTTGTATTTACGTTGACTCAACATTGAACTTTAATTGGCAAAACGTTGTATTCAATACTATTTGGAATTAAATTTTCATTAAATTCTATTATCTTTATATATATATATATATATATATATATATATATATATATATATATATATATATATATATATATATATATATATATATATATATATACATATATATATATATATATATATTATATATATATATATATATATATATATATGAATGTGTGTGTATAAATACAGCTGACGTAAGCAATATATACACATAAATAAGGTTTATACCGCTTGATCATTGGAACAAAAATCGTGTTTGTATTAATTGTGGTTTGATATTTTAATAATCACCGAAGATTTTATTTAAGTTATATAATTTTGCAATAGCAATGTTTGGTCGCATACATTGGATCAACGTTGGGTTTAGTTTGTAAAAACAATCAAATTTTTGGGATGTATTTACATACATTGGATCAACGTTGATTTATATACATTAAATCAACGTCAAAATTTATACATTGGATCAACATTGGGTTTAGATCATAAAAACAATCAACTTTTTGCGATGTTTTTACATACATTGGAAAAACGTTGATTTATATGTCAAGATGTATACATTGGATACATTTTGCCATGTTTTTACATAGATTGGAAAAACGTTGATATTTTATGTCAAGATGTATACATTGGATCAACGTTGAGTTTAGATCGTAAAAACAATCAAATTTTTTCAATGTTTTTTCATACATTGGAAAAACGTTGATTTATATACATTTAATCAACGTTGAAATATATACATTGGATCATTATTGGGTTTAGATCGTAAAAACAATCAACTTTTTGCGATGTATTTACATACATTGGACCAATGTAAATTTGCCTGATGTTTTTAGTTCCGTCGGTAATAATTTTATTATTAACCAAATGACATTAGATCAACGTTGGTATTGCATTGGAAAAAAGAGCCGACTTTTGCGATGGTTTTACATACGTTGGCCCAATGTAAGTGTGCTATATATATATATATATATATATATGATTTAATTTCAGTGTCAATAATTTTTTATAGAAATTTATTGTTTTGTAAAACAGAAAGAAAGATTTTCTTTATCAAATCCCAGTATTATTAATTTTATATGTTCCATCAATCAAACAACATACAAGACCAAATTGGTAGCATATGGGAACAAAAATAAAAATGCTAAAATATCTGTATTTCTCTTTATGATAAACTAATGTCAAAAAGGATTTCTATTTTTTAATAAATACATCTAAAAAGGCAATCTGGTTTTCTTGTTGTTTTTTTCTATTGTAAACATGGTTTCCTTAATTGTTTGTAAATAAACTTTCAACTTCAATTTACAATTGAAATTTTAAAATTTGCAATGTTTTGTAATAATTGTTATTTATTAAGATGATTAAAAAAGTAGAAAATGAGGACCAGAAGTCGAAATCTGTAGTAACTTCTTAAATTGAGTTTCAAAAAATTGTTTTAACCAAGATTTTAAAAATAAATCAATTGCAATGTTGATGGTTTCCCTAATTGTTTGTAAATAAACTTTCAACTTCAAACAGTTTATTATTTATTTTAAGCTGCTTTAACTAAAAGTCTAAAGTGCAAACTGTTTATGTGTGGAGACAATAAATGAGAAAGATTTTTAGCAAGATTGTAGCTATGTGCCCCACTTGTTGAGATGATAGATCAGAAAGTTGGAAGAGAATTATCTTTATTGTACAATTTTTACTGCTTGAGATACAACAGAATAGATTTTAATTAAATTTACTATATTATATCTAAATTTACATATAAACATATAAATTACTCATACTTTATATTTAATTGCTCAACTCTCCATCATATGTATAGTTTTAATTGCTCAACTCTCCATCATATGTATAGTTTTAATTGTGAAATGATTTCAGAATGTACCATATGAATGAAATCTTATAATATAGTTTGGAGAGTTTCATTTGGTTCTACAGTCTAATATGAGTAAAAAAAAATTTACTTTTTTTTTCTCTTCAAAATTTCTTTATAAGAAATCTTTCATTTACTTGAGTTTTTTAATAAATTTTTAAAAAGTTTTTTAATTTTTTTTTGGATTCTTAATTATTTAAATTTTGTTTTTAAATGATTAACGTTTGCATCTTCCAAAAGTATTCAATTTCATTACCACCAACAACTAAGATTGCAAGCCAAAAAACTTTTAATTTCCTAATAAAAATCAGAACTTTCAGAATCTGAAATTTTATTAACTGTTTTATCAACTAAACTACATTTTTTGTAAGATTGCAAGCAAAAGTGACTAAAACAAGTAAATGAATTGTACATTTGATGCAAAACTGGTTTTTAATTCCATATAACTGTGCATTTAGCTTATAGAGCTGACCTCATCTTGTGCTGATACCAATACACATACATTCTAAAAATACAGCCTATTTGTCTATTGTTGTTGAAGCCTATTTGTTTATTGTTGCTGTAGCCTATTTGTCTATTATTGTTGTAGCTTATTTGTCTACTGTTGTTGAAGCCTATTTGTCTATTGTTGTTGAAGCCTATTTATCAACTGTTATTGAAAAAAACATGTTCCAGATTCAGTCATTTTGTAAACTGTTCTTTTGTAAACTTTTTTTTTTAATTAAAATAGTCTTTAACAGCTTTAAAATAGTCCTTTGTAGTAGATTAAAAAAAAAGTGTATAATATCTTAAATATAACATTCAATAATAAATTACCTAATAATGTCCATGATAAAATGTTATTTGGGTGATAATGAGTTGCTGCATCAAATAACTCTTCAGCAACATTGTATTCTTCTTGAATTAAATGTATAGAAGCATTCAGAAGCAATCTTAGAGAGAAAAACTAAATATAACTCAACTATAAATATGTACAACTTGTTATAAATATGTACAACTTGTTATAAATATGTACAACTTGTTATAAATATGTACAACTTGTTATAAATATGTACAACTTGTTATAAATTTTTTCCAATTATATAACTCATTAAAACAAAAATGAAACAAAAATAACCAGTGGAAAAAAAAAAGGCTGAAACAAAAATCAACACCAACCCTTTCAAACTTTGCTGATCAATTGCTACAACTTCTCTAAAACATTGTTCAGCCTTTAAAAAAATTATGAAAGTAGTTGATAATCAAGTTTACAGTAAACCAAATCAACAGCATTCTACTTACACAATTAACAGTATGAAACAATTTAAAAAATATATATTATGTAATAAATATGTAATACATATAATAAGTAATAAACAGATGTAACAAATAAAATAATCTTCTAACTCTCTGAATGTCTTGCAACTTCATACAAAAAGACCCATATTCCATCCAAGAACTCAAGTCATTTTTATTTCTTGCAACACACTATAAATTAAAATAAGAGTATATATAAATATATAAAAATATTAAGGAAACAAATTGATTTTTGTTCATTCAAAACTTACTTTAGTTTTTTTATTTAACATCATAGAAGACTTGTCAAAAAAAAAAAGAAAGATATTTTGGTTATACACATATATATATATTTATAAACTGTATTCAATTCCCCAAAGCAAAGGGGACCATTGTAGTCGAGGGTAAACTCATTTTTTAATTTTATTCTTATTTTTTGCTATTGTTCCATCTTTCAGCACTATAGATAATAAACAATAACATAATAGCCACTGCCCTAAGTAATTTGCTGCGAAGACAAGAATAATGTTTGACAAAATTTCAACTTTAAGGTTTTTAAAAAACATTATTAGATGATGCATTAAATTGTATCACAAATATATATATATATATATATATATATATATATATATATATATATATATATATATATATATATATATATATATGATATATATATATATATATATATATATATATATATATATATATATATATATATATATATATATATATATATATATATATATATATATATATATAAATGCTTCCAGAAAGTATTAGCGCACTCATAATTTTTTTATTACAGACAACTTTAAATCAATTTAAATTGTAAAGTAATTTTAATTACGAACTAGTTTTTTTTTTAATGAAAGGTAAAACCAATTAAATTTAATTAGAATGTCAAATATTTGTCAAACTATCAGTTTTTTTGATGAATTAATTAGAAGTTTAATGAATAATCTGAAAAATGTGTGAAATTTCGTGTGCAAAAGTATTAGCGCACTCATTTAAAATATAATAGTACAATTAAAATATATTAGTACAATTAGTACAATCCTTTGAAAAAAACATTTTGGGTTAATTTTTGTTAATTACTCTCTGCTAATACTCTCTACTAATAATAGTCAATAAAAAATATAAGAAGCTTAAGTTGAAGTGACAGATCATTTGAAATACAGCTAGTTAAAACTTTAAAACTTGAACAACAAAAATATGGGTTTAAAGAGCATATCAATTGAAACAAAGTGGCAAGTTGTTGGCCTGCACAAAAGTGGTCCCAGCAATCAAGCAATTGGATGTCAACTTGAAATCTGTGAATGCAGCAATAGAACAATGCTAAAAAACCATAATGAGTTTGGAGCAGTCGAAGACAAAAGTCGCTCTGGTCATCCCAAAAAAAATGTCAAAAAGGGACAAAATTAAAGCAATTATGCTTGCTAGACGCAACCCAAGCATGAGTATAGCTGAAATCGCCTCAGACTTGAATATAGCGATAGGTACACATCAAGTTAGCTGATCAACAATTAGCAAGCTGATGAAGAAAAAACAACTCAATTCATACCTTGCAACAAAGAAGCCACTACTAAACATCAAAGACCATCTCAAGCGAAGAAAATGGTGAAAAGAGAGAGCTGCATGGACTGTAGAGCAATGGAGAAAAGTATTTTCTTAGATGAGTCAAACTTTGAACTTATTAATCGCAAAAAAAAAGAGTTGTCGTGAGGAGATACAAAAATGAAAAATATAATCTTCGTTTATATTTTTATTAAATAAAACCAAAAACTTTTCAGTTACTTTCAAATCAAAGTTCATCTGTTTTTTATATTGGAAACTGGTGATACCAAAAGTTTACCAAAGTCACATCCCTAATATATATATATATATATATATATATATATATATATATATATATATATATATATATATATATATATATATATATATATAATATATATATATATATATATATATATATATATATATATATATATATATATATTAGGGATGTGACTTTGGTAAACTTTTGGTATCACCAGTTTCCAATATAAAAAACAGATAAACTTTGATTTGAAAGTAACTGAAAAGTTTTTGGTTTTATTTAATTTTTGAAAAAGGTCACCCAACATGACCCTCGATTATACACTGGCCCCCATATATCTGTGAATTTTTTTTTCTTCAAAAGTATATCAACCTGGGTCTTAAAAAAACCAGAATTTTATAACAATTTTAAAGTTTATAGTCTTTTCTTCTGAAACAAAAAATATTGCAAACAAAATGTCATAAAAAACAACTTTTTCAATTTTTAGATAAAAATTGTTGTTTTTTTTTATAAAATTTAAGCAATTCATTTTTATTTGAAACCAATTTTATTTCTAATATCTCTATGAAATTCTGGTTCTTTTGAGACTCAGGTTGATATACTTTTGAAGAAAAAAATATTCACTGATATATGGGAGCCAGTGTTTAATCAAGGGTCATGGTGAGTGACCTTTTTTCAAAATTAAATAAAACCAATCTGTTTTTTATATTGGCAATAATTTGCTGACCTCAATCTTTTTGAGGTAGACATCAGGTCGGAAGAAATTATTTGATACAAAGGTCATAAAACAAGGCAATTTATATATATATATATATATATATATATATATATATATATATATATATATATATATATATATATATATATATATATATATATATATATATATATATATATATATATATATATATATATATATATATACACACACACATATATAAACACACATACACATAGAACCACATTACATATTTAAACACAACATTTATAGTATTATATTTACCTCTTTATAATATTTTTCTGCAAGTTCGAAGTTCAACATTATCTAAAAGAAAAACACTTTTATAAAAACACATTATTATATAAGTCTTATACATAAAGTAACAAAAAATACCTCAGATTCCTTAGCAAAATGCAGCAACTGTTTCAGATCGACAAAAGAGGAAGGTACCTTTTGCAGTTCTTCTTTTGATAAATACTGTAAGCAAAATAAAATTAGTTATCTAATAAAGTTAGTATTGTGTTGAATATACCTATATTTTTTTGTGACACAGAGTTTCACTTGAAACTCTGCTGCATCTGATGCAAACTTCACAAAATACAAACTTTACTTATAATATATTTAAGCAGTATTAAAAAAATCTAAAAAAAAGTTAATTAAGTACAACTTCAAATTCAACTCAAATAAAAATACTAATATATATTGTATTCTTATATAGTTAATTTAAAAATTATGTATTAAACCTTATTTAAACTAAGATTGGCATGGTCCATTAAAAATTGATAAAGTTGACTTAGAAAAGCTTGGTAATCATCAGACCTCTTGAAATTACTCTTGTGCCCAAACTTCTCACGCACTAGCTTCACAATATAGTACTAGTTTAAAAAAGGAAAAAAATAGTAATTAGTTAAACTTTTTTTATTGCATAATCTTAAAAGAAACAAACAAAGCATAAACTATTATTAAAAGATTTTATAAATGCAAACATTCTGCAAATCACATTTTTGTGTTTTGCAGAACTCAAATTTTTGGAAAAACAAAAAAAAACAAAAAAAATTTGTACAGAAAAAAAATCAACTCAATTTTGCATATAGGTGTTCTTCGAAATAATTGTATTTTCACATACCTTCAAGTGTTCTTTGAAAGAATTGTATTTTCCAGAAGTGTTAAGATAATGAAAAAATATTTTTTGTCTGTAAAATAAAAACAGTCAAAGAGTCTGATATGATTGCATTGACAATATGATTGAATTGAGTTTGCCAAACATTCAAAAATCAAACTATTGGTTAAATTCAATGAAATTCCTTTTATTGTGAAAATTACGTGAAAACTACTTAACAGATTTTAGTAATTTTTTGACACAATAAAGCTAATTGAATTATTTATTTATTTCAATAATTTTTTATTGGGCGCTTAGATAGAAACCAAACATCTTTGCAAGTAGTTGACATCATCTGTTAGATCTTGCTTCGAGTTACTTTTTTTGAGGCAGCTATCCATTTTTTCGTAAAATCTTTTTTATTTGTAGCTAATTTCTTGCCTTTTAACAAAAGTCCTTTTATAATTGACCAATAACTTACAACTTGGAGGATTTGCTTCCTTAGATACAAATTTGATGCCTTTTTGTTCATATCATTCTTGGAGTAGTGAATTATAGCTAAATCAGGCCAAAATATTGTGGGCATTTCATGTTTTTTAATAAATGTCAAAAGGCATTTCTTTGAGCATTCTTTTATATATAAAACTGCGTTCAAAGTTTTACAACTAATGTAAAGTGTACTTTTTAAACCACAGGAGCAGATTTCTTGCCATATAAGGAACTTGTGAGCAAATTTTTCAATTTAAATTTACTTGAACTTTTTGGCAACATATCTACTTTTCAACTGATAAAAATATTGCTGCCCTGTCAATTGTGAAAAGTCCTTTTTGCAATAGGTTTCATCGTCTTCAATTATGCACAAGTTTTCTTGGTTTAAAAATTTATATAGCTTTTTTGAACGATGAATTGCTTTAATTTCTCCATCAATGGATCGCTTTGGAGTTTTATTTTTAATGATATGCTTTGTATTCTTGAGATCTAAGTACTTTTCCTATCAATGCTAGTTCCTATCAATGCTAGTTCCTATCAATGCTAGTTCCTATGAGGCTGTACTTAAATTTTCTTGCAAGATCTCTATACGACTGACATGAATTTGTCTTTATGGAGGGAATGATTGATTTTGCTTTATAATTATTTTTAAATCCTCTCTTTTTTCCACTTTCAGTTTCTCTTTCAATAGATTGAGTCTGTTTATATCGCCAAAAAAAAAATCCAACGGATGATCGAGAAAGACCGGTCAATTTTGAAATGTCATTTTGTGACAATGAAAGATTTTAAAGAAAAATTTCTAAAACTTTTTTTCGATTTAATATTTGTTTACTCATTTTAATCCAATAATAATGATAACCAATGCTTATTACCAGTACAATCAAAAAACAACACATTAGCTTCCGTGTGCAAAAAAATGAAATAAATTTGTCAAGTAGTTTTTGAGTAGTTAACGATTAAAAGGTGCTGAATTTCATTGTGTTCAACCAATAAGTAAAAAGGAATAAGATTTTAAATATTTTTAACCTTTCATCAACTTCTTCAGGTACATCACTTAAAACTGTCCCAAACATAGATCTAAAAAATAATATCAATAATATTAATAATAATAATATAAATAAATAAAATTTTTTGAGGAAGCTATCTTCACAACAACTCCCAGAAAAACTATAAAAAAAGGCTGACTTTGTACTCTATAAAAAAAAAGGTTCTGTCAAAAAAGCTGATGCAATTATTTAAAAAAACAAACACTTTAAATAAATATAAAAAGGTAAGCAACTTCAAACTTTGTCTCATGCGTTGAAGGTCAATCTATTTCAACAAACTCCAACTTCTATTTTATTTAAAGTTCTATTTTAAGTCTTGTATGTATGCATGTATGCGTGTATGTATGTATGTATGTATGTATGTATGTATGTATGTATGTATGTATGTATGTATGTATGTATGTATGTATGTATGTATGTATGTATGTATGTATGTATGTATGTATGTATGCATGTGTGTATGTATGTATGTGTGTATGTATGTATGTACAGTAGTGTGCAAAAGTTCACCTTTTTTTTCAATTTTTACTGCATATCTTTTCAAAATCTTTCTCAAATAAGCTGAAGTTTTTACCAAATGTGCTCTACATTATTTCAATTTAAAAGATTATTTATTTTTATATGCGTGTTTATTCACTTTTATATGCGTAATTATTCATTCAAATACTTAAGACAAAGAATTTTTAGATTTGATGATGGTTTATTTTAGGTACAAACTGTTTTTCTTACTTAATTTAGTATTAGGTCTTTGTTTAATTTTATTATTAAATTTATTAATTGATTAAATTATTATTTACCTGATCATTCATTTATCTAGATTTAAATTTAATTATTTATAATTATTATTAATACACAAATATTTACCCTATGGATGGTAAAGAAAATAGCAATGCCAATCATAAAACAAGTAAAAATGTTACAAAGAGCACCTTGAAATGCTTAAGCATTTAGTTGAAAGAAATGAATCTACAACAAGAATTTTTGCTTCTATTAATTTATCTAAGCGCAGTTCAAAATCTTGTTGTTAAGTTAAACAAGAAGAATTTGATGACATGACTACATTTAAGTTATTTTCTGATAAAAAAAAGAGATAAAAGACCAATAAATGCTCAAATAAAAAATATTATTGAATTATGCGTACAAGAAAACAATTTTTGTAGACAAGAAACAATTAAAAAAAATCTTTCTGCAGCAGGCTTAAACATGTCTCACCCTACTATTTCAAGAAAACAAAAAATATTATACAAACATTTTGAAAACAAATATTTTGGCCTCTAATTTTGCATGGATACTTTTTCAAAAAACAATTAAATTTTAATTAAACATTAAGTTTTGCAACTTTTGTGGTTTGTATTATAAATTGAAATAATATAGAGCACATTTAGTAAAAACTTCGGCTTATTTAAGAAAGTTTGTGAAAAGTTAAGCAGTAAAAAACTGAAAAATGTTGGTGTTTCTAAACTTTTGCACGCTACTGTAAGTATGTACGTGTGTACAAATGTATGCATAAATATTTATTAATATTAGATTTTTGTAAAATCTAAACACTTATGTGTTTAAATTTGTACCTAACATTTAAACTGCAATATGTAACATTAGTAACAAGTGTAATATGTTATGAAAGTAACAATTGTAAAAAAAATAACCTTCATACTGTTTCTGTTACTGTTTAATTTTTTTACTTTTTCAATAAAAGACCCCAAAAATCTAAATCTGACACAAAACTATTTTTTACTATTTGTACCAGCCACTAAACAGTATTTATTATATATTGTATACAAACTTTACTATTATACTACATATATCTTACTATAATGTGATTGTATAAATAATAATTTACATGTTCTTTGTTCCACTTTATACAATTAAAAATAGTGACATTTATATCATTACTGTAAAAGAACAAAAGAAGTTTTTTAAGGTGTTGTTATTTTTAATGAATAAGTCAAATAAAACCGATAACATTCCAACCAGGAACAGTCATTATAAACATCAAATAGGACTAAAAGCATTAGTTTTTGGTAATATTTGACTTATTTTTTAAAAAAATATATTTGACTTATTTTTTTAAAAAAAATATTTGACTTATTTTTTAAAAAAAAATATTTGACTTATTTTTTTAAAAAAAATATTTGACTTATTTTTTTAAAAAAAATATTTGACTTATTTTTTTAAAAAAAATATTTGACTTATTTTTTTAAAAAAAATATTTCAAAAATGTGTTTTTGCAACCCTAATATGCACAAATTTAATTACTAAATTTGATTACCAAAGCCAAACTATGGCCAACTGCTTTATTAGGTATATTAAAATAGAAAAAGCATTAAACTTTTCAAGTGGTTATAAAATTTACCTAAATTCTTCTAATAGCAGGTCAGATATATTTTCAACTTGCTTTTCATAGTCTTCTATCGCCTATTTTCATGAAAAAAAAGATTTATTTATAAAAAACAACAACCTTCAATTTAAATAAAAACAAGTAACAGTGTAAAACAAGACCATTTAATATTATCATTTAAGAATAACAAATTATATATCTTTAGAGCTGTTAAATAGTCTAAACCAGATCTAACTCAACCTGTTTATATATATATATATATATATATATATATATATATATATATATATATATATATATATATATATATATATATATATATATATATATATATATATATATATATATATATATATATATATATTAGGGTGTCCCAAAATGACATGAATTTTTTTAGTTTTTAACTATTTCTAGATTTTCAAACAGTTTCATATGTATTTTTATTTACTAAAAGCAAAAAAAAAAAAAAAAATCAAAAAATTTTTATATTTGACCCCCCCGCCGCTCTTTTTTTTGTGTTTTTTTTCTAAAAAAATGACACAAAGGACTAAAATTATTTTTGATAATCAACTATGTTCGTATTTTATATAATTTTCTTGTGTAATTTTGTTTGATAAAACATAATCAATAGTTATTTTCAAAAAAAAATTCATATTTGACCCCTCCCCCCTCATAACCCCTTTAATGTGTTTTTGCCCTAAAACAATCCTTAATATACTCCTTTTATATATCTATTATTTATATCCAATATAATTAACTGTTATTATAATTTCAAATAGTTTTGTAATAAATAAAAATGAAAATTTATTAAAAATAAATTTTCACCTGGTTTATGACCCTCCCCCCCCCCCCCCATCCTTTCTAATATTACCTTTGTCGTATGATTTTTTTCTGCCTAAATAAGGAATTTTATAAATTATAATTTTTAATTAAAACAAAAAATTTGATAAATACTCAATTATTAAACAAAGAAGGATAGAAATGATTGGTATAAGTCAACAATATTAAAGCACAATGGGAATAAGTACTAAGAAGTTCAAAATCTCATTTTTTTTAAATTATAACAACAAAATAACAATATTTTAAAGGTATAATAAAAAAGAGATTTTTTAAAGCATATTTTCAAAAATTAAGTTTTTGAATTGCTTGTTTATTTATGTGAGGAAGAACTTTTCGGTGGTGTTCTACTGCACGTAAAAGAAATTCTTTCTGCTCATCATCTTTTGTAATAGATGTTGCATAGTCTTGAATTAGTTTTACAGCTCGTTCTGCTGTATCGTTTACAGATTTCAGTGATTTGATATGTTCAAACATGTGATTAAAATTTGTGTTAGTTTTCCAAAACTTTGGGGATTCTACCAACCAACCGCCATCCTCATTTGAATATCCGAATAAATTTAGAATGTTACTTGATTTTGGTCCAATTAAATCAGTCAAACAAGTACTCTGCTTCAGAAGAGGAAATTGTGGAAAGCCTATATCATGTTCACAGTTTTCTTTTATATTTTTCAGAATTATTTTAGCCATTTTAGTTTTATCTCGATCAGATACCTTATCAGAAAATAATGAAAGAGGGGACATTTCTTCAGTTTAATACCAAAGATGCCGATTAAATGTTTCCAGGGCAGCAACAGCAACATCATTGTCAATTTTTTTATAAATAAGCATTTCTTTGTAGAATTCCAGGTCATTAAATGGAGCATCGACTGTGCTTGTGCACGTAAGCCATATTTTCACATAAAATAGTAAAGTAAATTTACAAAACCTTGACAATTTCTCTATAAAACTTTCTTCATACTCTGCCAGGTCAGCAAAAGCAAACATCTTTGATGTGTACAAGATTGTACACATCCATCTAGCATGATGGAAGGCTCCAGGTTTGTGCCACTGTATATTTATTTGTTTTGGATTGAGTAATTGCAAAGCAAGTTGACAACATTCTCGATAATCATCTCTTAATATTTTTCGAGATTTCCGGTTAAGTAAACCAGACAAAAAAATTATTACTTCTGCTTTTTTGGTCTTTAATACTGGTTCTTCGATCTTTATTTTTCTAAAAGTAGTATCTGAAGTTAATGAAAGCTTAGGCCATACCTCATTTTTAAAGTGTCTAAATGGCTCATAATTTGGAGATCTGCATTCTCCAAAAACTTTGAAGTAAACAGATGACAAAACTCTTTCAAAAATATGGTGTCGGCAGGCGCACCAAAGTAACTTTTTGTTAAAGTGTTCTTCAATTAACTTTGCAGAACCATTTATCCAACCTGAATTTGATGGAGTTGTGTCAAAAATCATTGCCACAAGTGTTTTTTCCAGTTTCCATGTCTTTACAGCATCTATGGTAGCTGTTGCCTGACTTCGCCCAGTTGTATCAGGAATCCTGGATACACACAACAATTTCCCTTCAGGTGCACTTGGTTTTCCTGTTACAACAATAGCCAAACGTTCCACTTTACCATCGACCTCAGATACCAGCTTTGAATCCCAGTGAATGGAAGAGTACATGGGTGAAATGAATGTTTTCTTAAGATCATTTGAAACTTGCTGTCGAATTTTATTACCTGATCTGTACGCTGTGCTTTTTGAGATAGATATTTCATCTAAATTGTGGCCTAATGCTTCAGCTACAGCTAAAATGATTCCAGATCTTTCTCTGTTGGATAGATTCAACCTATCAGCCATTAAGGAAACTTTAGGGTTTTCTAATATCTTGATTTTTTTTTTCTGTCTAGCAATAGTACTTTCTTCATTTTTATTATGAGTTTTGCCTTCATTATCAAATGCTGCCAATACATTGAAGCTTTTTTCTTTTATGTTTTCTTTTCTAGATTTCTCTTTTTCAATAGCCTTGATTTTATTTTTCTCTTTTTCCTCCATTCTTTTCACTTTCATAGCATAACTCTTGTCTAATGGGCCCAAAAATTGCTTTTTTAAGTGACGTTGATCTGAGAGAAAGTCTATATCTGAGATCTGACTATTGATACTACGCAAGGTATCTTTTCTTATCAAATTTTCGGCATTTGATGCTGCAATATCAAACAATAATGATAGTTTATTAGTAAAACTCAGAAGTTGAGCTGCATAACTTTTTTTTTTTGCATTTTTAATCAAGTTCTCTCTAAGATGAATCAGATGTAGTATCATTCTGACAATATCTTTCTTCTGTTTTATTGGAATTCCTGCCATTTTCCAAAAAACATAAACTTTTTCCCAAACTACAGATGCAACTTCTTTTTTACCAGTTAATTTCAATTCAAATCTTGTAAGATAAAGATAATGGCGTACAACATCTCCATTTGTTGGTAGCTGACTATACATCTTTGCTTCAAGGGTAGGTAATAATTTACCAACAATATCATCAAACTTCTCATCATTTTTCCTCAATTTACTATTTCTCATAACTGATCAAATATTTTTTATATATGCTATTATATCTATAGATAAAAAAGTAGCTATAAATTATAAAATTATTTGAATAATGTATGTAACATTAATATTCATCATAAAAAATTTTCTCATCTCAAGCATTGAATAATAATATTTAATAATTTTTGAGAATCGTTGAATTGAAACAAATTATGTTTACTAATATTAGCTATGATACATAGTTTAGAATTATAATAGTGATCAATATTGATACAAAACATATTTAATACATTTATATATTTAGCCTAAAATCAGTTTAAAAGTGAATAATTTTGAAAAAGTGGGCGGCAGAGGGGGTAAAAACTTTAAAAGAAGGGCGGGGGGGTCAAACTTCAAAATTTTTCAAAAATCTTCTTATTTTCACTTTTAACGGACAAAACTACACACAAAACTAAAGGAAAAAAAAAATTTTTTTTTTTTGGGACACCCTAATATATATATATATATAGTATATATATATATCCAAAGTTTCTTTTTATTTCTTATATATAAATAAGAAAACTTTTTTAATTTTTGTTTAAATCATTTATTTTATAACACATGTTCCGATTATATCATAGCCATCATCAGTAAAAATATATTAAAATGCTTAAATCAAATTATTAAAATTAAGTTAAACAATTTTATATTAAACAACAAATTTATATTAAAACTCAAAGAAAGCATGTACATAGAGTGGGAAAAACCCACTATTAATAAACAAATGAACCATGTAAAAATGCCAATTTCAATCTAGTTCCTTTTAACATTACTGGTTCTTTTATCTTTTATCTTTTTTAAAACATTTTTTACATTTTTTTAATTGCATTTTTATTGTATTTTTTATTATAAGGTTAATAGAGACCTTATAATAAAAAATACAATAAAAATGTAATTAAAAAATGTAACAAATGTTTTAAAAAAGATAAAAGAACCGGTAATGTTAAAAGGAACTAGATTGAAATTGTCATTTTTACATGGTTCATTTGTTTATTAATAGTGTGTTTTTCCCACTCTATGCACATTCTTTCTTTGAGTTTTAATATAAATTTGTTGGAGGTTGAATCCAAGATTGAAAAACTAGCATGATTAAAACTAATAAAACAGCTTTCATTTGAATGTATATGTTTATAAATGTGTGAGTTTTTATCCCTTTTTTGGTGCTTGATTATTCCTGTCTTTAAATGGCAAGTAGTTTCGCCAATATAACAGGATTTACAGTTGCGCATTTAAACTTATAAACAACAAATGAATCAAAATCTGTAGAAATGGAATCTTTTGTGGAAAAAAAATTTGAAATTTTAAACGAAGTAAAAACCAATCTTACGGTGATCGATTTACAATATCTTTTAATGGCTGCGTTTAGTCTTTGTTTGCTTAAATCTGTCATTTTTCCAATATAAGGAAGTTTAAAATATTGATAATTTTGTAGGTTTTCCGAACGTGATGCAATGTCGACATTGATGTTGTTAATATAAGAGTTTGGGTGAGCAAGGGTTTTTTTAATAAAACAAGACGAGTACAAGTTGCATTTGAGAACTTTAAAAAGATCGTTAATATCATGACTAAGACTGAGACTAGTGTTGTTTATTTTATAAGCTCTATCGATTAAATATTTAACCAGACTAACTTTGTATGAAAATGAAGTAAAACTAAAAAAATTTGTGTAGAGTCCCGAGAAAGTTTTTTTATGAAAAACAGTGGTAATTGTGCAATTGTTTGTTTTATTCAGAGTTAGGTCCAAAAAAGATATTTTTGATTGAATTTCTTTTTGTAAAATTGTAAAAGTAATAGAACTGTTTATTATTGATACACTCCAAGAATAAATCAGCATGATTTTCGAAAGTGAAAGCAGCAAAAATGTCATCTACGTAGCATTTATAAAAAGGTTTTTCTCCGTTATATGATTTGAGCCATTTATCTTCAAAATTTCACATGAAAAGATTAGCAAGGACAGGTGCTAAGGGAGAACCCATAGCAACACCATCAATTTGGTCATAAATATGTCCTTTGAAGAGAAAATGAGTTTGAGAAGTTACAAAACTGAAAGGTTTTTTTAAGTCACTTTTACTAAGTTTAAGATTAACTTTACTATTTTTAATGCTATTGACAGCAATATCTATTGTTTCATGTAGTGGAATATTGCTGTATAAACTTGTAATATCATAAGATACTAAGAAATGTTTATGAAGGCTAGTTTGGTTTACTTCTTTAGAAAAAGTGAAAGAATCTTTAGTGCAGAATTCCAAAGGTATTAGTGGAGTAGTTTTCTAAGAAATTTAGCTAATTGATAATTATAAGTACCAATTGATGATACAATAGGTCTGAAACTTATATTATCATCAGAAGAAATCATCTTATGTAATTTTGGAAGACCATAGATGCAAGCTGGACGAGAGCCTGAAGGATATATTTTATTATAGTTGGATTCATCAAAGAAACTATTTTTCTTGAGTTTTCTTAAAAAATTTTGAAGTTGTGTTTCTCTGGTTATAGTGATATCTTTTGTAATTTTTTAAAATTTGGATGGATCATTAATGATTTTGTAGAGACCGTAGTCATAAAATTTTTATCTAGAATAACCACACTATTTCCTGTATCTGGTTTTAAAATAACGCTATCAGGATTTTGACATGATTTTTTCAGAATTCCATGCTTTTTTAGAATTTCTTTAGATGGGCGATATTTATATACATAGGAGATAGCGAGATAAAAAAGTTCAGCTTAAAGTTGACTGGAGTTATCACTATTTTTTAAATTATTTTGAAGATATTGGTTTATGAGTTTGAATAAAGAAGTTATCGGTTCTTTTAAGATGTTGTGGTGGAATAGAGAAGTTCAGTCCATTTTTTAAAATGTCTAGTTTGTCTTCTGAAAGCTTAAATGAAGAAAGATTTTTAATAATATCTAAATTATTAAAAGGTAAACTATGACCATTTGTTATACTTTTTATTTCTTTTCGTGTATTTAAAAAAAAAAATCTTTTTCTTTTTCGATGTTATTTTTCAAAGCTTTTGTTAAAATAAACCAATCAACAGTAGATAGGTGAAATTTAAATTAGTTTCAATTAAAATAACCTCATTATAAAATTGTTGTTTCTCCTTGTTGCATTTTACTATTGCACTTCGGAGTTTAAAATGCTTAAATCAAATTTACGCCTGGTAAATTTGATTTAAGCATTTTAACATATTTTAAATTTTGAAATTTTTACTTTGTTTAAAATTTCAAAATTTTTTTCCACAAAAGATCCTTTTCCTACAGACTTCAATTCATTCCTTGTTTATAAATTTGAATGCGCAGGCTGTAAATCCTGTTATATTGGCAAACCTACTTGCCATTTAAAGACATGAATAATCGAGCACCAAAAAAGGGATAAAAACTCACACATTTATAGACATGTTCATTCAAATGAAAGCTGTTTTAATAGTTTTAATCATGCTAGTTTTTCAATCTCGGATTCGGCCTCCAACAAATTTATATTAAAATTCAAAGAAGGCATGTACATAGAGTGGGAAAAACCCACTATTAATAAACAAATGAACCATGTAAAAATGACAATTTCAATCTAGTTCCTTTTAACATTACCGGTTCTTTTATCTTTTATCTTTTTTTAAAACATTTGTTACATTTTTTAATTGCATTTTTATTGTATTTTTTATTATAAGGTCTCTATTAGTTCTACTTAGTTTTAATGATTTGATTTAAGCATTTTAATATATTTTAACTGATGATGGCTATGATATAGTCGAAAAATGTATTATAAAATAAATGACTTTAACAAAGTTAAAAAAGTTGTCTTATTTATTAGAATATATATATATGTATATATATATATATATATATATATATATATATATATATATATATATATATATATATATATATATATATATACATATAAATTATATATAATATATATTATATATATATTATATAAAATTATTATATATTATTATATAAAACTATTATATATTATATAAAATATTATATATTAAATAATATATATATATATATTATTTATAAAAATATTATATATTAAATAATATATAATATAATATATATATATATATATATATATATATATATATATATATATATATATATATATATATATATATATATATATATATATATATATATATATATATATATATATATAATTTTCCATACTAAATAAGAATTAAAAATAAAATCACTTACTTTTTTGCTTCCACCTACTACTTTTTCAAACTTTGGTCTTGGGGGTAGAATTTCTGCAACTCTGAATCAATTTACAATATTACAATTATAAGCAATTATTTTACTATTTAATATTGTAAATTGCTAATATTGTAAATTTAGCAATTTACAATATTAGCAATTATTTTACTATTTAACAACATTTTAGACAATTTATTATCATAAATTTATTATTGTAACTTTGTTATTATAACACCATTACATAAACATATAAATTAAAAAAAAAAAAATTTTAACATATAAAAATTAAAAAAAATTATTTGATAAGATAAAGATGGTAAAGATACCATGATGAAAATACTTTTCAACATAATCATCACTATGATCATGATCATGGTGTATAACAAAATGTATTTGTTTGGTAAAAAGATGTAATTGAACTGCTAAAAACTGTAATAAACATCAAAGTTGATTATAAATAATTTATATAAAATATTGCTTAATACTACCTTTCAATAATATCTTCCAATAAACGCTTTTTAACAAGTGGTTTATCCAACTTTAATCCAAGAACAATATATGTTTTTGAATCCTGATATTGCTGTAAAAAATAAAGAACCTTCAAATGTTAGCTACAAAAAGCTACTAAGGTTCAAAAAATGTTACATAAAATTCTGAAAACTTAAAATTAAAATAAATAAAAGTTTACAAGACATTTAAATAAAAAATAAACTAGAAGTATATTAATACAGATATTTAGGTAAAGTTAAACATTAAAAGATTTTTTGAAAACAGTTTATTTTGCTGATTTTTATGTATTTATTTTCTTTTACATCTTTTTTATTTGTTTATTATAAGCTTTATTTAATGAAACATTATTTTAAATAGGAAAGAAGGGAAGGCAAAAACCTTTTTGCTAGGTTAGGGTACCGTCAACTTTGGTCAGTTTTTCTTAAACATCTTTGAATCTTATTAGTTTTTTTACAGTTTTTTTAAATGCGGAAAAGTTTTTGCGGTCACATTGGTCATTCATTATTTATCATGTTTGATCAATAATACCCCTGCTATGGGGTAACACTGATCACTTTTTGGAGTTTTAAAAATCATCAGTCCAAAAACACTTAAAGAAACATGAAATAAACATTGTTTAAACACAATAAACCAGTTGACTATTTGACATAGCAGTTCTGCCCTTTATAAACTACAATTGGTGAGATAAAAGTTCCATCTGCACTGCCAAAATACATGATGCTTGTGGCGAACTTGAAATATTGTATTTTTCACTTAACACGCTTAAGACCTCTTTGACATACAGCTGTTTTTGAACCGGGATCATCTGTCAATTATTTCATCATAATTGTATATATGACTAGAAGGCATATCTTTAACTACATGATGCTTTACAAGGTTGACAATCAATGCGTCAATCTTGGCACGTGCTGGTTTCACATTGTCTGCCAACCTCTGGGTCAAATTGTTTCGTTTTATAAAAGATTTAAACCAGTCATCACTAAGAACATTGTTTTTGAATCGTGAATCATGAACACCGGATCGATCAAAGTAATCTTTCACTAGAAGTTTGATATCTGTTGAAGTCAATGGAGTTTCCCAGTTGGAGTGTTGTTCGAAGTTACAACATGTGTTTCAGTCTCATTACTCAGATGCAACGGTATCCCTACCTTCTTAGAATGTTGATTTTTACACTTGTTCTATAGTGTACCCAATGCAATTCCAAAATGTTGACTAACCTTTCGCATGCTCATTCTTCCAGTTAAACATGCTATCATAGCATTGGATAACATTTCTTGACTGTATGTAGTTGCATATGCTCTTGAACCAGATTTACTTATATTTCCTCAACATTTTCACTGGCTAAGAATCCAAATGGTTCAATAAAGGTATCAGAAATGTCAAAAAACGCCAAAATACATAAACGCCAAAATACATAAATATCAATGTAGTCTACAAAGTAACTGTGCTATATTCACAAAAATTGTTGATATACCAAAATTGTTGATCTAAATTGTTGATATAATTGTTGATATATATTGTTGGTATCTGTAACAAAACTAAAACATATGTTATCGTTGTTAAATTTTAGGAATTTAAAAAAAATCAACAATTGACCAAAGTTACCCCGGCAACCAAAGTTACCCCTTTTTAACTAGATTTATTAGTAGAGTGATAAAAAATATACCTGACTATCATGGACTACATCACCACCTTCTGATGATCCGTTTGGAGATGATATCTTAATGTTACCAATAGATTGCTTTACAAATAATTTTAAAAATTAGATATATAAATTACAAAATGAAATTTTTTACTGTTTAACAAGCAATTAGGTGGTTATGCTAAAGATAAGGAAACTATGCTAATTAAAATGAAAAATTTATATAGAAAATTAAAAATAATTTTTTTTTAAACTAACTACCTAACACATAATTCAAAAAAATAAACAAAAAAATGTGTGTAATAAAACACTGGTAAAAGAGGAAGAAAAGAAGTTTAATAGGAAGAAAAAAATAAAATAAAAATTAAAAAGAAGTAAAATAAAAAGTAATAAAATAAGTAAAAGAAAAAGAAAAGAAGTAGAAATAAAATTAAAAAAAAAAACAATAAAAATAGTAAAAAAAAAAAAAAAAGAATATAAATAAAATTAAAAAAAAAGAGAAAAAAAGAAGCAAAATAAGAAGAAAAGAAGTAAAAAAAAAAAAGAACAAAAAAATGTAAAACAAAGAAATTATGTAAAAAAAAAAACAAAAAAAAAAACAACAAGAAAAGAAGTAAATGAAGAAAAAAAAAAGGAAAGAAAAGAAGTGAAAAAAGAAGAAAAGAAATAAAAGGAAAGAAGTAAAAAAAAGAAAAGAAAGGAGTAAAAAAAAAAGTAATCTTTTTTTTTACTCCTTTCTTTGAAAGGAGTAAAAAAAAAAATTACTTTTTTTGTTGCTTGGAAATTTGAAAAATTTTTTCAAATTTCCAAGCAACAACTCAATAACATGAAAGTAATTTACTAAATATATCTTCTAAAATAATTTAGAAATATTAATTTACTTTACTTTTTTTTTTTTGACATACTTTGTTTTTGCTGTCCTGTTTTCCTTGCTTTGAAGATTTTGATGTGCCCAGAGAATTATTGATTGATTCCACATTAATCATCTTTTTGACAAATTCATCATTAAAAACACCTTTTCTTTTTAACTTTTTTAATGCTTCATTTTCAGTGTATGGGTGAACTAAATAAGCCCCATGAATGCATTGCACTCCAGGATATAGTAAAGGAGCAAGATCAACATAAGCTATGCCATGGTAAGTATAAGAACATTCTTCATCTTTTGATTTTGGTTTTACAGCACTTGAATCTACAGTTCTAATTATTTCAAAAGGTAAGTAGCGGTTACAAGCAATCAACTGGCGCAAACTGAAAAACATAATTTGATATTATAAATGATATAATGATCAACCATTTAAAGACTATATTTCAATCAAATTAAATCAATACACTAATCAAATAAAAACATTTTGGGATGAGCATAAGACAGCATGTGTCTATGACACGACTTTTTTCTTACCAGAAGACCTTCCCAAGACACTGTATCCCTACTCGAGACCTTGATCAAGATGTTCAAAACTCCATAAAGACTTCAAGGAATCCATTAGTTACAAATTAAAATTAAATAAAATTTAGTTTAAAAAAAATTGAAACAGACTATTTAAATAGTCATGACATCAGACAGTCGTGACTTGCCATCAAACAGTCATGATTTGTTGTCAGTCGGTCGTGACTTCATACTACAATTGCATTTAACATTGCATTTACTGATTTATATAACGAAAGGAAACTGTATAGATTTGTATAACAAAAGAGAGTTGTATAGATTTATATAATAAAAGAGAGATATATAGATATAAATAACAAAAAAAGCTGTATAGGTTTATATTACAAAAAAGTGCTGTATAGACTTATATAACAAAAGTTAGCTGTATAAAATTATATAACAAAAGAGAGCTGTATAAATTTATATAACAAAAAAGGGAGCTGTATAGATTTATAAAATGAAGAAGAGCTGTATAGATTTTTATAACAAAAGAGAGCTGCATAGATTTATATAGCAAAAGAGAGCCAGAAAATATAAAATTTTTAAAATTTGGTGAGGCAACACTTTTGAGCTATTTGTTGCAAAGAGTGATGTAACAGAAAACTAAAACATTTAACAAGAAATTTCAGATATGCCAAACATAAATACTTATGACTTCAATTATGAATTCAAAAAACAAGATCTCGTAAACCTGGATCAGACAGTATAAATGACTACTAGGAACAAGAAAAATTGAAAAAAAAAGAAAGATAAAAAAAAATCTAATTCAGAGCTTCAAAATATAAAAAATATAATAGCTGTGTTAAATTAAAATTTAAAAAAATCAGTTTTAATTTAAAATAATATTGTACAAATACTAAAACTTTTATAAAATATACTTTTCCAATGATACAGCACTTAGGAAACAACGTTGCTCAGCATTCCATGCAACACTTGGTTTGTTTAACTCAACATCCATACGAAATTTAAAATCCTAAAAGTTAAATGACATATTTAAAAAAATATATATAAATACCTAGTAATGACAAAAAATAACAACTATCCAACCAACAAATTGTGTCCTGGCAACGCAATTGTATCATTTAATACAAAAATAACTTTAATATTTGTGCTTATAACAATAATATAACAACAGCATAACTAAAAATATATTTATTTATTATTACATCAGGAGATTTTAAATCACCGTTATCTTCTTCATAAACTATTTTTGAAGCCTGCCTAGAAAATAAAGAAATCTGTTTAACTGTTGTTAATCAAATTGTTATTATCATTAGAAATTAACTACTAAAATTTTTAACATAACATACTTATTTTGGATTTTTGTATTGCATTCAGATACATTTGGAATAAAGCTCTTTTTCTGTGAGTTGATTTCCTTGAGGTGAAAAATAATAAGCCAATATATATATATATATATATATATATATATATATATATATATATATATATATATATATATATATATATATATATATATATATATATATATATATATTAAGTACTGTAACTCTATAATATTCCTAGACTTGTATTTAAGTGCTTTATAACCTTAATAGATTTTAATTTGATAATATTTGTTAAAATGTTTTTAGCAAGTTTTTTAATAAAAAGTTTTTGTGAGTTGTTAGCCAATAAAAACCTTTACTAAATTTGGTAAATGCCAAAGTTTTCTTCATTGAGGAAAAAAGCATTTTGATTCAACATCGTATTTATTGCAAGAAAACTACAAGCTAACAAAGTACAAAACTATTTGATATCTGTAAAACGCACAATGATACATACTGTATGCTGCTGTTTAGGTATAAGCAACAATAGCAAGCCAATGGAATAAAGAATATAAAGCTAAATCTACTATTTCTGATTCTTTTCAGAAAAACAGCACATTCAGTCTACAATGCTTTAACAACTTAAGATAAACAAGAATAGAAATCAAGCATGTGTTGTTATAGAAATCATGCATGTGTTATTATAGAAATCAAGTATGTGTTGTTATAGAAATCAAGCATGCGTTGTTATAGAAATCAAGCATGTGTTGTTATAGAAATCAAGAGTGTGTATTATAGAAATCAAGCATGTGTTGTTACAGAAATCAAGCATGTGTTGTTATAGAAATCAAGCATGTGTTGTTGTAGAGATCAAGCATGTGTTGTTATAGAAATCAAACATGTGTTGTTATAGAAATCAAGCATGTGTTGTTATAGAAATCAATGACAAATAATAAAAAATGACAGAAAGAAAGCTGATAAATTTTGGGCTGACAAACCTTGCTAAATTTTTAGAAACATCAGTGTGTTTTACAAATGTCATAAGATTGCTGGAGGTTAGATAACTATGATTTTGAGCTGTGAGCTGTGATCCAATCAATGGCATTTTATCAGAAGCACAAGCTTCTTTGAAAGCTGTAAACATAAATGACAATCATAGTGTTAGCATTGTGTTGAGACCGTGCTACAATAAATCAGTTAGTGTGTTACAACTGCAAAGGGATGAACCACATAGCAAAGAACTGTTCACTCATTAAAAAAAAATGGCTCTAAAGATCTTTCAGTGCTTGAAATGTGAAGAAAACAAAAAAATATGGCTACAAAATGTTTTGAAATGTATAAAAATGTAAAATGAAATTAATGAAAAATTAATGTAAAATGAAATTAATGAAATTAATGAAATGTAAAATGAAAATATTTTTGAAAATGTATGAAAAGTAAAATGTATTAAAAGTGCCAGAGCACAAAAAAACTTACACTACCTTATTTCTAAACGAGGTTAGAATCAAAATAATCAACAAAACATTTCTATTTTATCTTGCATAAAAAATCAACGAACACCTTTGGCATCTCCAACATTTATAGAATAAGAACCCATCATGCCTCAAGTATGCAATAATTCAGGACATTCATATTTTGGATACTATTTTCAGCATATACCTTCAACTTCTAAAGACATTTTTCGGCCTTCCTCTAAGTTACGCATTATTCTGCCTTCCTCTAAGTTATGCATTATTCTGCCTTCCTCTAAGTTATGCATTATTCTGCCTTCCTCTAAGTTATGCATTATTCTGCCTTCCTCTAAGTTATGCATTATTCTGCCTTCCTCTAAGTTATGCATTATTCTGCCTTCCTCTAAGTTATGCATTATTCTGCCTTCCTCTAAGTTATGCATTATTCTGCAGCCTATATCATTGTCTCCAAGTAATACAAATAAGAAGGGCTATGTGTAAAAATAAAACAATAAAAACCTAAAAATGTTTCTAAGAAGTCTCTAAGAAGATGTAAAGCAAAGTCTTTCTAAGAAGATGTAAAGCAAAGTCTGATACATACACATAAAATTCTGATAAAGTACTACAAATAAAATTTGGTTGAAACCAACAAATGCAAAGTGTCATAAAAAGTTTAGCATTTATTGATTTCAACCAAACAAATGATTGAAATTATGTTTAAAAAAAAAGTAGCAACAAACAATAAATCGAAACATTTGAAAACAATTCGTTGAAGTAAATGGCAATCTGCATCATATGAAACTTTGAAATAATACTTAACTGTTATGTTACATTCCTGACGTTAAAATAGTAAAAAGTGCATACACTTGTGTTAAGAAATCCAAAAAACTGAAAAAAAGCTAAACTGAAAAAGTGTCCAAAACAAGAATAGAAATAAGATATAAAATTGCTTTTATCTATAAAGTGCTTCAAAATGAGCATACCTCTAAAATATCTATATTGCTGTTTACATGATCATTAAGAATATGGAAAAGTAAAATTCAATTGTGAAAAAGTCTAGAATATTCTATGACATCAGATGTTTTATAACTTTATTAGACTTTATTTTATAATTTTTGTTAATTAATGATTTAGCAGTTTGTTAATAACAATTTTTGAGGATTGTTGTCAAATATATGTCTTGCTTAAAATTGAATTCAGTAAAATTGTGTTTATTACAAAAATCTTAAAAATACAAAAACAGTTATTTGTAAATACTACTTACAATACACATTGTTTTTTTAAATTATATAAATGCAACCAAATACAGTTTAAAAATAAGGTGGTAACTTAAAATAAAATAAAGCATAAAATAGTTTTAATAACTTAAGGATAAAAATGATACTTGTTTGTTATGTGTATGTATGTGTGTGTGTAACAAAAAAACAATAAATGCATAAATCAATTCAAAGACATTATGAAGTCATTATAAGTGTTACTACAACAGCAAAAAAAGATAACTGAGATAAAAAATGAGATGAATGAAACTATAATTTTATTTAATGTTATATTGTAGAAAAATGTTTTTTTTTGCATCAACTCATTATGTCATTTTGTCTCATGATAAGTTTCTACTTTTCCGTTCAGAACAGCACTTTGTAGTTGCAGTATTTATATTTTATATATTAATATACTTTTTTAATAATAATGAACTGCTGAACCATTAAAAAAAAGTTATGACATGGAAATTTCTTATTTAAATAAAGGTCAACAAAAAATTTTTTTTCCGGTGCCAAGCAAACAATTTGTTTTTTGTATAGCATTTCTCATTTTGATTTCAAATATGCAACTCATTTTTCACCACAATGTCAAGTTGTAAAGATATTTGGGTTCAAATCTTTAGTACTTGGGGTAAAATCTCTAATATTGTCAAAAAAAAAATTTAATTAAAAGTATGTCAACCTGAGTCTCAAAAGAAGCATATTTTCATAGAGATTTTAGAAAATATATTTTTCTATAAAATTTATTAACAAAAAAATTATGTAAAAAAAATGCTAAAGACTCTTTAATTAAAAATAAAAAATTTTAAAACAATGTTTCTTAGCAATAATACTAAAAGTACTTATTACAAACAAATATTATTTTTAAAATCTCTATGAAAATACACTTCTTTTGAGACCCAGGTTGATTTTACTCAAAATGCTGTAAATTTGAATCCAAATATTTTTGCAACTTGATATAATAGTGAAAAATGAGTTGCATATTTGAAATCAAAGTGAGAAATGTTATACAAAAAACAAATTGTTAGCTAGACACCAGAAATTTTTTTTTTTGTTGACCTCTGTAATCATTTAAATTTCTCAAAATATTTTTATTACCTTTTTGTTATTGTCTTTTTTTTAAGTTTCTTAAACACTGGTAACTTTTGTTTTTTAACCTTATTTTATTTTATATTTGTATATATATCTTCTATACAAACATTCTTGTTTATCTTTTTTAAACTTGAATTGCAGCATATATTTAAGCAGTATATTTAAAATATAATCAGCAAAAATATAAATTTAAATAGCCATTGTTTCTAACATAAAAACACATTTATAACAAATATATAAAAATGTAAAAGTACAAATGAACTTTTGTGCAAAAGAGATCAAAACTTTACTTTATACTTTTGTTTTGACACTATATTACACTAATTTCATTACTATTATCATATAATATTTTAATACTGAGATTAATTCTGCTTTCTTTACTCATTTCTGAATGTTTAACACTCAAGTCACGGCAGCTATTACACTTGAGTTAATAGCAAGAAAGAGACACAGCATCTTTTTTATCAAATGTGAACGAAGGTGAATGCAAACATCTAATTTATGTAAACTTCAAATTATGTAATATCAAAACATGTATCAAGATTAACAGTTTTATTTTTACTTTAAAATTGATTTGCGGCAACATTTCCTTAATTTTTATTTATAGCACTTATTTATAGTTTTAAAAAGTCTTTTGTTTATTTAATACTTTTAAAACTTTAATTAAAAAATACGCTTTAGTGGCCCCAAAGTGGTTAGGTTGCAGCATTCTGAAGTGGATCGCCGTAGTTCAAATCCTTGCATTTCCACTTTTTTTTTTTAAATTTTTTTCGATTTTTTAAAATACAAAATAAAACATTTTGGAAGTTCAATAGATATTTTTACTTTTATAAAGTTTTACTTTTAAAATAACTTTTTTTTTACTTTTATTAAGTTTTTCTATTTTAAATAAATTTTTTTTACTTTTATAAAGTTTTCCTTTTATAATAAAAATATTTTTACTTTTATAAAGTTTTTTTTTTATAAAAAAATTGCGACAAAATCTCCTTAACTTTGATTTAAAGCATTTATTTGCTGTTTTATAAAGTTATTTCATTTCTTTTGTTTTTTAAATAATGTTAAAAATTGTCAGTTTAATGTATCTTATTGGCTGATGTGGTTAGATTGCTGCACTTCCAAAATACAATATTAGAGTTCAAATCCTGTTACTTACATAATAATTTTTTTACATTACAAATTAAATTTTCTAAAATACAAATTAAAACATTTTAAAGTTCTATTGTTGATATATAAAGATATAATATATATAATATAAAGATATAATATACTAAAACAAACAGAAGGGAAAGAGTATCATAAAAGATATAATATGCTAAAACAAACAAAAGGGAGAGAGTATTGTAAAAGCTTAAAATTGCAATAAACATCAAAACAGCAATGAAAATTTTTTGCACTTATATCACAATAGAGATACTTAAGTTGTTAATGTGTTAAGTTATTAACTTTTTTTTTATAGAAGAATTGATTTAACATTTAAACTTTTATTTTCTTCAAAATTAAAAAATGGAGCAAGTTTCCTAATAAGCTGCAGATGGTCTGGAAAAAAATTTAACAAAAACTAAATAGAAACTTAATAAAGAAAAAAAAAAAAAGTCTGTAATCATTTTTTTAAAGAAGTTTACAATTTTACAATAAGAAGTTTTAAAGTCTTGAATATTACCTGTTAATTCAAAACAAAGATTTGACAGAATTATTTTCTACTACTAAATAGCGGTTCGCGCAATGATTACCGAAGTGTTTAAAATTTATTTAAAGTTATGTTTATAAAAGGTGGACAATATGTATTGTTTTTACATCGCCCTACTAAAAAATATTGAAGTATGGTATAAGTATAGAAATGGTTGGTGTAGAATAGATTTACCAAGACCCGAAATTTTGTGAATTTGGAATTCTAGTTTAATATTATTACTATTATTTTTCAGGCAAGTAATGGAAAATTTAACAAGTCTGCCATTCAACTTATTTATTTAAATGTTCTTTTAACACATTTGAACATCTTATTAATATTTTGAACATTTAATTGGTTCATTTCCACATCCAACTAATTTATTTAAAAATTTAACTGGTTTATTTGCATATTTAACTACTACATTTGTATAATCAATTTATGCATTTGTATATTTGATTGAATGATTTTTACATTGTATTGGTTCATTAACATATGTGATAGTGGTGTAGTGGTAGAGTGCTTGCCTCATAAGCAAGAAGTTTCAAGTTCGATCCCCACAACTTTCTTGGTAGAACTGTGCCTTGTTTATTAAGGTTCATGTTTCAAAGTTATAGAGTTGAGAGAGAGTTGTAACCACAATTATAATAGTTTCCTCGACTGTAGTGGCCTTCTCTGCCTTGGGGAGGTGAATAACCATAAAAATATTATATATAAACAGTATATTAACAGGTTCATTAACAAATTCAATTCATTGATTTAAACATTTAATTAAGAAGTGAGATTTTTAAAAAATTATATTAAAAACACTATAACATTAGAAGCTCACAGTTTAAAGAACAACTATTTTACTTATAGATTAAAATTTTTTTTTTTAAAGTTTCAGTATAAATAGTAACTTTTTAATAAAACAATTCTTATTAATAATTACTTGAACATTTTACCTTTTCCATTGGTCCTTTAAATAACCCACTTGAAAAAACCAAAAAAGTTTCATTCTAAACAAATTTTAAATTAATTACAGAAATATTTTATTTTTCTGAACTATGAAAAAATAATAAAGACATTCAGCATTATAAAGCTTATTTAAAAAAAATCAAGTTTAAACCCTCATTCCTTATAGTCCTAATAACCTTAATATGATAATTAGTTTAAACTACTTTTTGAAAGCATAGTTTTTTCTTTTCATCAAAGATAAACATTTCCTAAACTTTTAATCCTTGATTACTTGAAAACTACTAAGCAGATTTTTGAAATTTTTTTAGCAAAATAAAGCTTATTTACTTTCATTTTTTTAGCAAAATAAAGATCATTTACTTTCATTTTTTACATTATTAATTCAATGCTTAGATAAAAACCAACTATTTTTGCAAGTACTTTTGATCATCTCTGTATTCTTGCTTTGATTTATTTTTTGAAATTGATACCCACTTCTTTTTAAAACTTTCTTCGTCTAAAGCAAAATTCTTTCTTTTCAATAAAATTTTTTTAATAATTGACCACTATCATTCAATAACTAGCTGCTCAGAACAGTATGAAGGATTTACTTTTTTAGGTACCAATTTGAAATCATTTTGTCATAGCATTATAGAGACTTCTTGGAGTAGTCAATTTAATTAGGCCAAAAGTATTGTGAGCATATAATGGTTTTTAATGAATAGCAAAAGACATTTCTTTATATAAAAAAATATAAAAAACTATATAAAAAAACTCTATATAAAAAAACAAGCTCAAATTTTTAGGAGTATAGAATATAGAATAAAGGGTGCACTTTTCAAACGTATGATTGGTAAAGAACGATTTAACAATCTTAAAAATGTTACCTGATAAGAAAAGAGTCTGTAAAAAAAGAGCTTATGAAAAAGACCAGCATGCCAAACTTTATTAAAAGCTTTAGAAATGTCAAGAACAATAGCCTTAACCGCTCCACATCTATCTAATGCACAATAAAACCTATCGGTTATTACCGTTAACAAATCAGCAGTAAAACTAGAAGATCAAAATCCATATTATTGATCAGAAAGTAAGTTAATAGATTCAAGATAAGAGATAAATTGTTTGTTAATTAGAGACTGAAAAATCTTATTTATGAATAAAGAAGACTAATGGGACGGTAGATAGATGAGTCATATTGCTCTTTAGAATTTTTAAAAAATTGGAACCATGCAAGAGAGGTAAAAATATCAGATTTGTTCTTATTATAGACAGATTCTACTAATTTTTAAGATGAAATACAAGACTTGAGAATATGCGACTTAAGAATAGCGAGCTTTGGTTTTAGATAAAACTTTTTTACAATGTTTTCTAGTAATAGTAAACAGACGTCCATTTTCTGGAGAATTGTTTTAAGGATTGATATGGAAGTATTGGTTATGATTGGAAATTGCAAAAAAAAAAGGAAAACCTTGAACCAAAATAAAAAAAACAACCAAGAAGCTGGAGGTTTGACTTGGAATTGTTGAGAGAGAATAAAAGATTCCATGCAAGCCTGAATCCAAAAAATTAGCTGAACTCAAATTAGTCTCACAAAGAGCAAATAGGTCTGGTGGACTTTGCAAGAGATAAAACTCAACATAAGAAAAGCTACTTTGAAGACCACAAATATTAGTGAATGATAGATTTAGAGAACTTGGTAATGACAATGGTTTTTTGTGTTTTATAATTTTTGATACTTAAGTTATTTTTTAAATTGGTTGAAGAACTTGATTCAAAGCACAATTAGTACTCAGTACACTATTTAATAGTCCAAGCAATTGCCTCATTATTTATAAACCCTAAGCTGTAACAAAGGGCTCCAAATGTGGCCTTGACAATGCACACCAAAAGTACAAACTGGGACACTATCTAAGCACAACATGGCACTGTTAGTACTCTGATATTTTACAGCTGTTGATGGAATCAACCTCTATGAGAGCTACAACAGAATTGGGGAAACCTTACTACCAGCAGATTTCAAAACCATAAAACTAAGTTTTAGAGCTTTACCTGCATTAGGAGATAATAGAATGAGTTGCCTAGTCATAAAAACAGAAACACAAGTAAAACCCATAAAATGAGTCAAGAAAATCCAGCATGTAATATCCTAAAACAGAAACAATTTATTATAAATATATCTAGGCCAACCTAATTGGTAAAGAAGGAGTGCAAAGCTGGTCAACAGATAGAATCTGTTTACCCTTTAAAGCACAACTTATTTCTCTGTAAAGTGAACTTTTAAAACATAGTGTTTTGGAGTTATATAACTAATACGGAAGACCATAAGACATTAAATCACAAACAAACTCAATTTGCTACAATAGATTATTAATATTGTTAAAATTTAAAAACTTACATCAGTTGTTATAGGAATTGGCATACACCCAGCATATTTATAATTTGCAGCCATTTGACACCATGTTTCTGGTATTGAAAATGCACTTTCCACACATAAAGTGAGAATATTACTGAAAAAAACATATATATATATATATACATATATAGATATGTACAGTATAGACCATTAATAACAATATATCATGTGAACAATATATCATTTGACAATGCTGACCTAACTGTCAACCTAAAAGTGTTTGAGGTCAACAAAAAATCACAGAACTTGTTTCTATGTTTTATGGTAACCCATTTGCGTCAAAGTTTTTTGCCAAACTGATGCCAACCTCTAACAGTTTGAGGTCTGCAATTTATTGCCAACCTCATTTTTTAGGTTATATATATATATATATATATATATATATATATATATATATATATATATATATATATATATATATATATATATATATATATATATATATATATATATATATATATATCAACCCTCGGAATTAGGAAAAATGAGGTCAGCAATAATTTACTGACCTCAATCTTTTAGAGGTCGGCATCAGGTCGGCAAAAATTATTTGGTACAAAGGTCTGACCATAAAACATAGAAATGAGGTTGGCAATTTTTAGCTGACCTCAAGCACTTTCAGGTCTGCATTGCCGAATACTGACCCTAATTCCAAGGGTTAATATATATATATATATATATATATATATATATATATATATATATATATATATATATATATATATATATATATATATACATATATATATATAAATATATATATATATATATATATAAATATATATATATATATATATATATATACACACATACATATATTATATATATATAAATATATATATATATATATATATATATATATATATAATATATATACACACACATATATATATATATATATATATATATATATATATATATATATATATATATATATATATATATATATATATATATATTATATATATATATATATATATATATATATATATATATATATATAACCCTTGGAATTAGGGTCGGTATTCGGCAAAGCCAACCGTGGAAGTAGCAGCCTTGTTGGAAGTCAAGATGTTGAAAAAAAAAGAATTCCATTTACTAAAAATTAAATTCTTTTTAAACATTAAAAATATGTACAAAGCGTACATTGAAGTTGTTTAAATAACACAAGTGCTATTTAAACAACTTTGTCAATCATTTTGTAAAAAAGATTGATATACTATTGCTCAGTTTTTCCTCTTTCAGTACTAAAAGTTTATGACTTGCTTACTTTTTAAAAATAAAAATTAATTGGTTATTTGTAAAACTATTAACATGCATTCAAAAAATTTAAAAAAATATTTTATTCATTTGGTTATATACAAACTAAAATTGTGTCAAATGTTGAGAAAATAAACAAATATTTTTTTATTTCAAAAACTGGAATCTGAGTAAACATTTTTTGGTTCTTTTGAGTTAATTGATCAATAAAACTAATTTTGTGGTAGTTTAGTAAATTCCAGTATATCAAAAAAGTTAATGACAAATATAAAATCAGCTAATAAATATGAAAGGCAAAAAAAAAATAACTTTATGACATCAAAAACTCTGTTACACAAACGGGCTAAGCAATTTTTATCATAACAAAGCCTGCAACATACAAGATATCATTATTGTATCATATAAGATATCTTATATGATAAATAATGAGAACTACATCCTTGGTGTCCCAGGCCTGGAGCATTGAACTAGGGCATAGCAGGTCCAGCAATATTTTGATCTGGATCCTACCCAGATATTGGGGATTTTTATCTGATATCTAATCCAGATAAACTAAATGAAAATAAACAAACAAATTTTTACAAACAAAAAGTTTTTATTAACTTTAAGAGTGAAATTCTTTTAAGTACTTCATATAAGCAAATCTATTTTCATATATCAGCACTTTTATTATATTTATAGTAACTTTTTATGGTATCTTTTGCACAAAATTGCAATTCAAATTCTTTTTGGATTGAAAATTGATTTGTTTTTATAGAACAAATTAATGATAATTCTACTTTATGTATTACCTTTAATAACTTAGATGAAAAAACACCTAAATTATTAAAATAACAGCAAAAACATCTAGCCTCTAATTAAATTATTAATGTTCTTCACATTAATTTTGAATACTTTTGAATCTTGATTCAACTCATAGATTTTTAAACCTATGAGTTGACTCAAGATGCAATACTTATAGATTTTTCTTCTTAAAATACTTTTTCTTCTTAAAATATTTAGTTTCAGATAAATAAATGAATAGAATATTACAATTATTCTTTTTAATACATGGCATCTTTTTGTTTTCCACATATTTTAAAAATAAGCCTAACACCTAAACCAATCACTGAGGCTTAAAAAACGGCTGCATGTATCCCGTATAATAATAATAGTAATCATTTATTATTATCATTTATCTTTTTTTTTTGTTTTTATTATTTTTTGTTTTAGGTGTTCCAAGAAGACCTAATGGTTTTGCCAAGGAGTACATCAGAAAAGTGTTAAACTAGGAAGTTGAAACCTCCTTCCTTACCGATAGTGCTAAATATGGCCAGAGCTTGCTTCGAAACCTAGGTCTCATTACTCTAAAACAAAGAGTTAAAAGAGCGTTGTAACCAATAGATGGATATACATCTATTGGTTACAACGGTTATATTTGTCAATCCTTAATCATCATTTATTTAAAAATCATTTATCTGTAACTCTTCAATAAAAAATCAATGATTGTGTGAATATTTAAAAAATGACGCTTAATGAAGCATTAGTAATAGTAATTTATACAGATTTTTTAGTTTTTTTAATTCATATAACTTATTCTCTGTTCTACTAGAACTCCTGGTATTTCCTCATATAAAAAAACCAATACAATGTGAATAAGTGTAAAAAACATGTTACAATGTGAATAAGTGTAAAAAAATTAAAAAAACTTGATTACTCCTATCAACAATTTCAGTTTAAAACTTTTATAAGCGAATCTACAAACCTCATTTGAAGTTGCGCAGAATTTAGAAGAGGTTTAGCTACTGAAACAAATATTTCAGCCACTCCCTAAAAAAAAAAGAGTAATTTAAACAGCCTATGATATTTATATATAAAAAAATGAATGAATAAATATTTATAAACACATGTATACATATATATATACATGTTACATATATATATATATATGTATATATATATATATATATATATATATATATATATATATATATATATATATATATATATATATATATATATATGTATATATATATATATGTATATATATATATATGTATATATATATATATATATATATATATATATATATATATATATATATATATATTTATATATATATATATATACGTATTAGTGCTTGCATATATCTTCGTGAGAGTGCTCAATAAATTAAAGAAAATTAAAATGATTTAAATCTAATCTTTTGGTTTGTGGTTGTCCAGCAAAAACTTGTTCTCATGGCAATATTTAGATATTAGTTCGTTTTTTTTGTTTAACAATTCTTTAGGATTTTTATACTATAAAATTAATAGTTTCTCATAATAGGCATTTTTTGGTTATGTTGTTGTAGGCGGGGGCGCTAATTATGATGGACCATTTTAAATTGAGTGTTGTTTTTGATTTATTTTGTGTATCCCATAGATATTTTGAAAGCATGGTTGCATTTGTGAGTTTTTTGTTTTTGAAGGATTGCTTGTGATTCGCATATATATATATATATATATATATATATATATATATATATATATATATATATATATATATATATATATATATATATATATATATATATATATATATATATATATATATATCTAACCATATAACATAGAAACAAGATCGGCAATTTATATATATTCGCGCATATATATATATATATATATATATATATATATATATATATATATATATATATATATATATATGCGCGAATATATATAAATTGCCGATCTTGTTTCTATGTTGTATGGTTAGACTATTGTATCAAATAGTTTTTGCCGACCACAAAAAAACTGAGGTCAGCAAATTATTGCCGACCTCAGTTTTCCTAATTCCGAGGGTTGTATATATATACATATATACATATATATATATATATATATATATATATATATATATATATATATATATATATATATATATATATATATATATATATGTATATATATATATATATATGTATATATATATATATATATATATATATATATATATATGTATGGATGTATATATATATATATATATATATATATATATATATATATATATATATGTATGGATGTATATATATATATATATACATCCATACATATATATATATATATTTTTTTTTTTTTTTTTTTTTAACATCTTCACTTCCAACAAGGCTGCAAGCAACCACTATAAGAGTTGGAAGTTACTGGAAGAGAAAAGACTAAATCTGTAGAGCAAGATATATATATATATATATATATATATATATATATATGTATATATATATATATGTATGGATGTATATATATATATATATATATATATATATATATATATATATATATATATATATATATATATATATATATATATATATATATATATTTATATATATATATATATATATATATATTTATATATATATATTCCACCTGAAAAAGAATATAAATTAAAACTATTCAAAAAAAACAAAATTGCTTGTAAAGAAAATGAGATTGAAGGCATTCTTTTTCATAAATAACTACTTAAGAAATCATTCAAGTTATACAGACTACAGAATCAAATCATCAAAATGCCCACCACAAATAAATGAAATGCGTTCTTTTCAAAAAATCTTATAAGCTTAATTAAAACAATAAAATTTTGTAACCTAAATTGCAAGTTTCAAGATAATATGAAAAAAGACTCATATGTACGTTGCATAAAACATTAATAAAGGCAGACAAAACTTCTAATTTGTATAAATTATCTAAAGATGAGTACAACAAATTGTTAACAAACGCAATTATTTCTACCTACAATAAATAGATGCCAGAATTAAAAGATCAAATAAATAAGGAAGGAGAAAACCTTTTAATCCACCATGAAGTGTATAACAATATTTATTGAGATAAATGGCTCTATCCACCTAATATAATAAAAGAAATCCCTTGCACAATTGATTTAATTAAATCCCTTGCACAATTGATTATTGACTATGGCAGTAAATGAAACTGTGTTTAATAACTCCATTCTTCCGTATGAAGAGGCTTTAGGTAAATCAGGATACAATTCAAAACTTACCTACTAACCTCAAATAAACAAAAATAAAAAAAAACATAGCAAACGTAAAAATTATATGGTACAACCCTCTGTTTAGCAAAAATGTTGAAACTAAAATTGGAAATCGCTTCTTAGCTTTAATTGACCTACACTCTCTAATAGGACACAGGCTTCATAAAATTTTTATTTGCAACTATATTAAAGTTAGCTATAGTTGCATGCCTAATATCAAGTCTTTAATAAATGCACATACAACGCAATAAAAATCTAACATCAAAACAATGCAACTGCATAGACAAAAAATTTATATATATTAAATAAACAATGTCTTTCTAATAATATTGTATACCAAGCCACTGTAAGTTCTGGAGATCCTGAATTCAAAAATAAATTTTATTTCGGTATAAGTGAACATTTAAATTAAGATATTAACCATCTTAAATCATTCAATGCAAATATAAAAATGACACTAAACTTTCTAAAGAAATATAGAAGTTAAAATCTAAAAATATAAAACTTGTGATTACATGGAAGATAATAGCACAATCTAAGCCCCACAATCAAGCATCAAAAGTTTGTAATTTTTGTCTCGCAAGAAATTTCATATATTATCATGTAAAGGAAAAAATTTACTTAATAAAATATTCAAAATAATATCAAAGAAATTTTTACTTTCCTTTTCAACACCGAGGACTAAAATCTTTGTTGCCCTTTTGTTTTGTTTTTGTAACACCAGAACTTGTTCCTTCAGTAAGGAAGGAGGTTTGAACTTCATAGTTTAATACTTTTCTGACGTGGCAAAATAATAAAAATTTAGATGTTATTTTCAAAATACAAGACAAGTAAAAGCAACAAATGAAAACCATGTGTATGTTGTCACATTCTGAATAACATTACCTCAGGCTGTAATGTTTCTCCTCAATGTGCAATCAATGTGCAAAATTTTAGGGAGCAATATGATCGTCACAATGTCATGATCATATTGTTCCCTAAAACTTCTTAATCCAAGGGCATCAATGATTTGATCTGGAAAAGAGTTCCAGTGTTTAACTATACAAATGGTGAAAAAACTTTGCCTCTGTTCACAATGCTTTACCAGTTGACACTTTGTTCGCGTAGATGATCACAAGTACCACCAGCAGATTCATTGCAAATAAAGGAGGGAAGTGATTTTGGTGAGTGATGTCAGTTAATGATATCAATCCAGGGAATTATTTTAAGATGTTGTATCATATCAGATCTGATGCCTCTCTCAATTAGGGCGGTAAGTACTATTGATATGAGTTTATCTTTGTATGGCAGTTTTGATATTTAAAAAATTACTTGTGTAGCTTTTTTTTGAATGTTTTCTAAAATCTGTATATCTCTTGCTTTATATGGTGACCATGATTGAATTACAGATTCTAAATATAGTTTAATAAATGTTTTATATAGCAATTTCCACAAATTTAAACCTCTATGCTGAAATACTTTTTTAAAAAGTATTTGATTTGACTTCATAGCAGCAGAATCTACTTGCATCTTAACTTAAAGGTTATCTTAAATGAGTATACCTAAATCTTGTTTAATATGGGTAACTGATATGCATGACCTTACATTTTATTATATTAAGTTTCATCTGCCAATTTTTCAATCATTCAACAGATTTACTGATATCAGCTTGTAAAAAATCCACATTTGATGGTGAGCTGATTATCCCAATAATTTCAGCATTAAAATCATCAGCATATAATTTTATATTGTATATCAAATTATCTGGCAGGTTATTGATATACAACACAAAAAGAAGAGACTTGAGGACTGATCCCTGTGCGACACTGCTAACTACATCTTAATTAGCCATGCTTTAATCTGTGCAAGAACTTGACCATGAACACTTTATGCATAAAGTTTATGTAGTAGTCTTCTATAAGGTACTGTATCAAAGGCTTTTTCAAATTCTATAAAAAAAAGTCAACAGGATATCCTTGCTGTAAAGCCTCTATGATGATGTCAAGAGTTTCTAAAAGGTGGTCATGCATGATTTTTTAAATACAAATCCATGTTGTGTATTCCAGATGACATCCATAGCTTCATAGTGATCCATTGATGATGCATGGAAGCAATTTTCTTCCCACAAAATTGCTTCCATTCATTTTCCAAGAATTGCTATTAAGGAGACTGGTCTGTAGTTTGAAGCCAAAAGTCTAAAATCTGCCTTAAAATTACTGTAACATTTGCTTTTTTCCATCTATTGGGTAAAATATCAGTACTAAGAGAGCAATTATAGATTATACTCAAAGGTAAAGCCATACTTTAAGAACAATTTGAGAGGACTGGTGGGTGGATGCCATCGAATCCAGTGGATTTATTTGGATCTATTGCTTTAAGTCTGTTTTTAATATGCTCATGATCGAAAAAATGTTCAGGAATTTTATGGCATTGTATTTCAATTCAATTTTTAAAATAAGGTAGGTCATCTGATGGTTCCACAACAAAAACAGAATGAAAGAAATTTCTTAAAGCACATCAAATTATGCAATGTTTCTCCTCAATGTGCAATTCACCTTCAACTTTGATTATTACATCAATGTTTTTCAAAGCATGTACAGAGTCTTGTTCAATAAATTTTTTTCACACATAGGAATGGAATATTTTTGCAATTAGTTTTGTTTATTGAACAATGGTCTCTTTATATTCCAAGACTGGTTTCTTTATTTTGAAGGCAGTTAGGAAATACTTTATCTGGATTGCCTATAGAACATCTCTTCAAAGTTGGCTATTGTTGCCATTTCTCTACCAATGTCCGCTTAAACATATTTAATGTGACTATA